AACAAACAAACCTTTAACGCTCTATAACTTGCGTTGTAGTAGGCCTACAATAATAATTTTTTGCTTATTTTAAAGCTACAATTTCGCTCTATCTGTACATAAAATTTTGCAATTTTTAAATATTTAATACTAGTGCTAACGTACCTCACGGGTTCGTGCACCACACAGGTTCGTGCACCACTTTTGCCAAGCCCCCACCAAAACCACCCCATTCTGGCGCAAAACAGCCCACTTTGGCCCTGTATAGAGCAATATAACACGAGATATTATTCAGAGTCTACTTCTACTGCTTGCTTACACGTACGCGCGTTATGCCCAGTCTGATTGCACTGTCTGCAGCGCCTTTGAGTTGGCTCACCTCCTTCAGCGCGTACCTGCTTCTTTGCCTTCTTCCCATCACTACGCGCCCCAAACTCCTTTAGAGCAGTTAGACAAGCTCTATCCTTAACTATTAAGGTCCCTTCTGCCTGAACCCGCTTTCTTTTATGCGATCTACGTCGCGTAGCAGCCTCATTTGCTGCTTAAAGCTCTGCAATCTCCTTTTGCGCCAACACTAGCTTGTGCGCAATAATCGCTGCCCCCTTTGAGACCTTCTCAAAGGCCTCCACCATAGACGTTAGTAAGCTATCTATATGCTTCTAAATCCTTTCCTTAACAAGCGTCAATTGCGACCCTAGTTTAAGGGTATTGCTTAGGGTTTGCAACTGCCAGGACTTAGTGTTGATAGGCAGTGGTGGTGATAGAGTACGCAACTAGACGTCAAGGGCTGTTATAACCTGTTCTAGGTTAAATAGGACTAATCCAGCGCCTTAAAACCCTCCTTAGATATTACTAGAAGTAATTGCTGCATTATAGGCGCGTATAAAGCATGGTAGGAACTCAAGTTTCGTGATGTGGGTGATCTAGTTGCGCATAAGATCTTCGGCTTGGCGCCTGTACGCCTTCTTCAAAGGGGCAAAACATCCTACATCAAGAGGCTGCAGGAGGTGCGATAAGTGCGGAGGCATGCAGATAGTGATAATCTTGTTCTCCTTGCAGTACTGCTAGAAATCAAGCGAGTCGTGGCTCTCATAGCTGTTAATAATAAGGAGCCAATAAGCGCCTATAACCCTCCTCTTTGTATACTCATCAAAGTGCTTTAACTACTGCAGCCTAAGCTCATTTGTCGTTCAGCCGTTCTCAGAGACTGCAATAACCCAGTCCTGAGGCAGATTCTCCTCCTTGTACCAGGCAGAGAGGTGATAGCGGCCCTTGAAGATGATGAAGGGTGGAATAGCCCACCCTGTTGCGTTGATGCCCTAGATGACTGTTGTCCACTCCCTATTGCCTTGCTGTATTACCTTTAGCCTTCCTCGTCTCTCTGAAGCTGTAACAACCGCCCTAGTTAATATCTAGCCTATCATGAAGCCCAACTTGTTAAAGTTATACGTGTCTTTATCCTAGATACTGTACTTAGCTTTTATATTAGCTACTAGGCAAAACCAGCCCTAGATAACCTTAGGATCCTCGCAGAGTGCTCTCTTGTAATTGTACTTGCGATTAAACTTCATTGTGAACTCAGGGCGGTGCATAACCCACGTACTGGGCCAGTTTAAGCCAACCTAGCCTAGATTGCGCTCTGCGCGTAAGGAATTGGCCATATCAGCTACAGCTGCGAGCCTGGGGGGGAATCCGCGCGAGATGAGGTCAAGTATATGCTCAACAACTACGCCCTCCTCAGTCTTTGTCAGATTCCTTGATTTAGGCCAGCGATCTGCTTGTGGAGTCTGTCCTGCGCGTCAGCGGCTTAGTGTTGTATGAGTGACTTTGTAGATAGCTGCAGCGCGTCGCAAGGAGAGTGTTGCGTCTTGTTTAAGAGCTTGAAGGGCAGTCTGTATCTGACGCTCATTAGAAGGCTCTATCTAGTGTTGTTGTTGAGGCATCACGTATAGAGGTAGAGTTGGTGGGGGCTTGGCAAAAGTGGTGCACGAACCTGTGTGGTGCACGAACCCGTGAGGTACGTTAGTAGAACTAAGGGTAGCTATGCAACAATATTACAACATTATTTTAAGTTTATTAAATATAGGCACTTAGCGTTTTAGCTATTAGCAATGTTAGCGCGAAATTAGGGCTGTTAGGCGCAAATTAGGGCTGTTGGGGCTGTTAAACAGCTGTTGCACAACCATACCACAACTGTCAGCAACAGCCAGTCTGGGCCGGATTTCGAAAAACTTTTCCCGATGTAGGCCTTAACTAGGTAAAGCACTTTACTAGGCATACACAGACATGCTTATTAGGTGCTTATTAGCTACTTATTCTTCACAGTCACAGCAGCCACACTATACCTAAGTGTAATTAGTACTATGCAGACAACCTAATTATTACTCTCTGTATGCCTCCTTACACATCACATCTCCTCCAGCTACTTAATATTAGCTGCTATTCTCCTCTTAAGATGTTGTATAGACATAAGGTGTCTAAGCTTGCCCACTAAAGTATCTTCTATATAGACAAGCATAACTTCCTATAGATATACTTAAGGATCAGGCAGACTGCCCTATTAGAGAGTAACATTAAGGCTAGGTTTTAAGCAATAGGGCTTATCCTATTTAGTCTAGAGCATGTCCTGACATGCCTTACTGTAGTCAGAACACTATCTCTACTAGGGACAGCTACTAGTATAGAAGCAGCCTAGACAGCTAAGACACTACATACTATTAATTAATTGCAGAAGCAGGCCTGCCTTGTACAAGATCTCCTTAGGTGTTAATTACAGAGTCTAACTAGTTAAGCTATCTCTTGGCTTGTTAAGGGTTGTTAGCTTGCTATGCAATTAGCAACAATCCTAGCTTAAGAGAATGCAAAGCTACGTGCCGTAAATTAACACTAGCAACATAAGCGTTAAAATTATAGACAGTATATATCACGTAGGTAAGCTCTACAGGTTAAGGAAGCTTAGTTACCAGTCTTACAGGCTAATAATATAGTTAAAGAGGACGCTTAGGTTAACGCTGCCCTATAACGTCAGCAAGCACTACTAGGCTGGCGGATGGGTAGGGTATGCTTTTTTACGTTTTGGCTTATAGCTTCTTAACTAGCAGAGATACGCTTACATGATCTATTATTTGATAGAATTGTCTAGTATTGCGCCTTCTAGTAAAAAAAGAATTAGCTTATTCTGCCTAGTATTAGCTAAGTTATTAACACTACCTAGCAAAGTATACCTATCTATAGGTATGCTTGCTAGGTACCCCCCCTTTTTTAACGTTTTCTAGCCTCTAGCTTGTGCAGTTTAATAGTTATAACAAAACCTTCTACTATAAAAATATAGAGGTAGTTTTTCTCTTTCTTTTTAGCCCTAGTTTACTAGAATCTATGTATTATTGATAAGGTTTTGGGGGGTACCCACGAAGGACGTTGGAGTATACCCATTCCGCCAGCCTAAGCACTACTAACATGTAGCAAATGCCACGTGCAAGGTCACAATAGGACTTAATATAGAGCTATCTAATCTATCTTGCTTTAAAACCTCACTTAATTTGACTATGTAGTTGTAGAGTAGTTGCACGGCAAGTAAAGCGCGTTTTAGTGGGGTGGCTAGGATACTGATGTGGCCATCTTACTGATAGAACACGTTAGCTGTCCCTGCTTACAAAGCAGTACCAAGTTGCGGTAACCCGCGTTGAAGCATGTGCCAACCAGCTGTTCTGGCGTGCCAGGAGACACTAATCCTAGGTCTGCCTTTTCCTCCCCTCTGTCCTTACCTACCTAACGCTTCCGCCAGTGGGCAGACCAGTCTGTACGCTGCTCCTGCTAGACTTTGAGCACATCGTCCATTAGCTTATGAAGTATGATTTGATGGACGAAGTACGTATTGTCTTAATTACCGAATACAACGATAACCCATTCACGCCCCGGCAGGAACCGCACCGTAGTCTTTAAGCCGTCAAACGAGCCATCGCGGCCAACGAGAAGATGCCCAGGATACGATTCAACGACATGTCCAAGCGCATACAACACATGACCATAGAGCGGAAGCGCATCTTTCCCCTCAAATTGTATGATTGCCCGGCCCCTGAGCACCTGTTTGTGCGCATTGTAGACTTCATTGTCGGGCTCTGCAGCTCTCGTGCCGAACAGCACATCATCGTATCCTAGCTCGCCCGTCCGGTGGCTCAAGATCTCTTTAATGATGATGTTCGCGGTCATATACGGGTCTAGATCATCGGGCAGCAGCTTGGAGACTGAGGTCCGCCATCATTGCACGTCTGGGTATGCCTCATCGCCAACAAGCAGCGCAACGCATGCTGCAGTGAAAGCTTTGGAAGTACTCGCGCAGTCGAGGAAGGTGTCTGCGGTACAGGTAGTACTGTCGAGATCTGTTGCAGCCAAAAAGGAGGCAAAATGTACATACATTAGTACCCCAAAGTAGGCCTGCTAAGTAGGCCTATTCTGCCCGCGACAAGATCAGCCACGCCGTAGCCATACGATATATCAGTGGCGCCTGGGACCCATGTTAGCAAGACGTACTTTCGCGTAGATCTGGTCGCCTTGACCGACTGCGACTCCAAGCCCTGGTACCTTTCATTTTTCGATGAGCTTCTTAACGCTCTCATCGAATGTAGCAGTCGGGTACGTCATCGTTGCCCGTCTTGATAATCAGGAAAGGATGGCTTGCTGTGTGTAATCATGTCGAAGTTTGCAATAAAAGCTTCCTAATAAGATGTATTTCGTACAAGTACGAGGCCTGCTGCACCTCTTACTAAGACCGGTGGGGGAGTGGATGCTTGAAGGGGCTATCCAGAAATTGAACACGACGCTAAAGTGACCATACAATAAACAAACCCGACACATAGTAAGTAGTGCTCACGCTCCAACAATCACACCATTCGGCATCTGCAAGCCAATTGGTAACCCAGAAACGTACGGTGCAAGGAACTTCTCGCCTCGGACCTGCGTCAGCTTCTCCTCGACGTCCTTGTACATGTCGTACGCATTCATCTCCTCGATAGTCAGCGTCTTCTTCTCATCTTCGACCTTGTATGTCGCGCAGTTGTCCTTGTTTGCTGAGAAGCCAATGCGCTCGTTAATGTTGTACGCTGCTTTTGCTGCTGCTGCCTGCACGCGGGTGGCACGCGGCAACCTGACCTTCTCGTAGACTTCGAGTGCTTCCCGGACATCGCCCTGGAAGTAGGACTTGTTGAAGATGATTCCAATTGCTGCGGCGTCTTCAATGGCCATGCAAGCGCCCTGGCTCTGGTGAGGCATCATCTGCGCATGTTAGTCAAGATCCGCCAGACAAGCTTGGAATACATACCGGGTGACCTGCGTCACCCAACAAGCAGACGTTACTCTTCTGGAGGTATGGGTAGGGGTCGTGCACCCATAGCCTCCACGGCTGTACCTCGACACCAATTGCCAGGTGCGCCTTGACCTGTGCATCCAGCTCTGGGTAAGGAGCGAGCAATTCTTCGACAGGCCGGTCATCAGCACCCCACGCCTGTGTTGTGTAGTCGCCCCTCTCACGGGGGAAGAAGCAGTAGTAGGAGAGCAGCTTGCCACCGTTGCAGGGCGAAAGCACGATCTTGTCCCAGGTGCCGTCTTGGCCGCCCCAGTACTCCAGAGCATCGTTTTGGGAGTAGTCTACCAGACCGAGCTTGACGGCCTGATCGGTGCTGACGTTGGCGTGCAGACAGCTTGACTCTGCTGGGCGCTTTGCTGGATGTATCCCGAGAATACCGCGTACAGCTGAGCCGATGCCATCTGCGCCAACAATAAGGTCGTGTTTGGCGGTGACACCGTTCTTAAATATGACAGTGCCAGCCTTGAGATTGATATCCTGACACTATAAAGTGGTAAGCATGTGACAAAATTGCCGGAGATGCGATGCTTACAGCGTGGTTGACCAGCAACTTCGCTGGTGGACCTGCACCCTCCCCCTGCAATGCGCAGTCCTTCAGCATTGCGTGCATATACTGGCGATGGAACATGTTGTACGCGTATCCCCACTTCTGCTCATAATCATCAAGGCTGAATGTTGATACAGGCTCGCCAGTCTTCCAGTCACGGTTGATGAGCGACTTCAAGACCACGGGGTCGCCCTTTTGGACATCGACTCCCCACTCGTGTAGCCATCTTGTGCCGTTTGCTGCACAGGACACTGATGCGCCGACCTCACCGGCAAAGTCGTGCTTCTCATAGACGGTAACGTTGTGTCCAGCACGGCGGAGGGCGATAGCCACGGACATTCCTCCAATTCCACCGCCGATGACACCAACATCGAGTTGTCGCCAGCCTTGCGCCATCTTTCCTGATTGCTACCAGTGGTGTTAAGGTTTGATGTGTTTGAGAACCCAGGTGGTACGGGTACTTTGCGGTCTGTGAAGTCTGAAGTGCGCTTGAGGCGAGTAAGTCGCGGTGGTCTAAGAAAGAACGCGACGGGCCGAGTTCATATACACCATACAGCTGCAAGCTGCTCACGCTGATCCACGTTATTGCGAACACGCCGCCAACTCATCGCCTATCCGCGCGTATCGGAGGACGAGCATCGGAGGACGAGGCCGAAGTCCAGTGATCGCGGATAAGGACCCATAGGTATGAGCATTTCTGACAATTCTCTGAATGCTGATTGGGATGCTAAGCACTAAGATGCAGGAATAAGTATCGGAAACTGGTACGGAGGAAGGTTGACGGAAGATGCGGAAGGTGCGTCGGAAGCAAGCCTAAGCGCGCCAAACAAGGTGCATTAGCCGCTATTCGCGCAACTGCGGTTATCGCAGGTTCAATACTTAGATTTTTTCACATCGAAATATGATATTTCGCATCTCTATCTATACATCCCCCGCTTCAGATTGGAATCGTAGCGTTTGCAGGCAGACATGCGCCCCTCTCCTGCTCGATACGGGCAGTCGCGTTGACAACCAGATTTGCGAGAGGGCTCGTTCCACACTTCAACCCCAGAACGAAAGCCTGACTGTGCTGTCAAAGAGTCAGTAACTTGTCGCAGCCAGTACATGCACGACTATACATACCACATCCGCAAGGAAAGGTGCTGTGTGCGTATGATCCATCGGGTAATTTTCATCTACGACGGCTTTTCCAAGCAATTTCTGCGCTTGAGCGGCATACTGTCCATGCTGTACGAAGTATACGTTGGATTCTGGACCTCCGAGCTCGATAGTAGCCAGTCTGGCTTTGTTAGTCACAACTTGAGTAAAATACGGTGCAACTTACTGGCTGTAGTAAGAGAATACCGGCGATTTGTACGAGTAGTTACCCGACTCCCATACGTTTGTCGGTAGCTGTTCGTTGATCACCACACCAGCAGCCCCCAAATCAAGGTACTTCTTCGCTGCGGCTTTAATGTAGGTCGGGAAAGTCTGGACGATTTCCGTTGTATTGCTACGGAGTCAGAAACAATAGTTGGGCGTCTGGTGTAAGAACTCACTTGAAAACCACGCTGCAGGTCTCGTCACCCGCGCCAGGGCAGTCCGCTCGACCCTTGTCACCAGTCGAGCTGGTAGACCCATTGATTGGCGCTCCTGCATCGTTGATGCCAAACTCAATGACAACCCAATCTCCTGGTTGCAGACCCTGCGCGATACTGTCGAAGCGGCCTTCGCGGGTAAACTATGTATCGTCAGCAACGGGCCGCTGTATCGTGGTGTGGGTAACTACATACCGAACGCGCAGATCTTCCAGCAAATGCAGAGTTGTTCACTAAGGCTCGGTCGCCAAAGGAGTACTTCAAATACTGACCCCAACCCTCTGTACCGTTTTTGCCACCCAAGGGCGCTGTCGTCGAGTCACCTGCGAGCCACACAGTTGGTACCTTCGCTGAGGCAACGACGGCTGTGCTTAGCAAGCATGCAAGGCTTGTTTGAAGCTTCATGTTGTACTAAAACGATAGACGATTCGAGAGAGTGTGCAGGAACCCAAGGACCTGGTTGGCAGCGCCCCTGCCAAGTGCTCAGTACTTATGGCAGTGCAACCCCCCGCTAGGCCGGAGGACGAATTAATTAGGTCATGGCGTAAAGCGCAGAAACGGCCATGATTGCGGAGACCCCGCAAAGTCCGGGGATGATGTGCGCTCGCGGTCGGGTGAACAATCACCGAAAGAAGCCGAGATCTTCCGGTCTTGACTACGCAAAAACTGGTCGAGAATATTTCACGTTTTTAATTCTTGATTCTATCTAGAGCGACATCGAAGCACTTTGATACTAATTGGGTATACGTACGGAAGGGAAACGAAATGGGGGTGATGCTAGCTGGACTGCCCTGGATAACTATCTCAACCGTACACGGTATGGCAGCACCGCGACAGAAAAGGCATTTTATCAACGAGGGGCGCATGATCATCCGACGTAGACAATACAGCTGTCCGAATTAGTTCGTCGTTCACTGCTCGTAGAGCTCAAGCAGGGATGCGACATCTGTGGAGCGCTTCGTTTGCACTTCTACAGAGGTGCACACCTCATCTTATCGGCGCATGCCAAACTCGACGTCGTTCTTACGACCAGGCTTGATGTTGGGGTTGTACCAGGTGATGCAGACGACGAGTGTAGCTATCATCATCAGGCAGTCGTAGATGTACAGCGTCCACTCATGCTGGAGAAGGTATGCCTCCTGCGCCATGGTTAGCTCCGAGATGGAACAGTTTGAGGATGACAAGATTACCTTACCCATGGCGTACTCGACGACACGGCACATGTTACGGATGGTGATGAAGGCACTGGCGGCGTAGAGGAAATGAACCATCTTCTGCCATGAAATGCCTGCTGAGGCAGCAGTGGGCCTGGATTCCAGTCTGCGGTGCCAAGTGCCTGCGATGATGACGAAGAACAGGAAAATCAGGATCTGAAGGACGAGGCCGCCGAGTATGATGTTTTCGCCCATCTTGACACTATCTTTGTCATTCGCCTGCACCAGCATACCAGCACCGCCGCTCTGAATGAAGAAGCAAAAGACATCTCCAGTCACGAAAACCTTCGTAACCCAGTTGGCGCGGACGAGCGAATAAGATGCGGAGTCGGTGCGCATGATTAGACGGCCGAGGATCATGTAGATGGAGGCAGCGAAAAGGATGGGAGCGATCAGAATGAGGACAGACTGGATGATATAGGGTGTCTTCGAGACTGTGTCATTGTGTGCTGCTGCTCGTGCGGCGTAACCGATTGTCTCGAGCTGGGCGGAGGTCAGTATAGATGGTACAAGTTCGAGGCCGAGGCGTACCAAAGCACCGATGACGAACGGTATGCAGAACCAAGTGCGGTTCTTGATGAGTCGGAATATATGAGCACATGTGAGAACGGCAAAGATGATAGCGGCAACTGCTCCACCGGCAATGGAAGGTGTGTAAGGCCAGAGGACGTATTCGGTCTTTGTTGTGTCCGCCATAGTGGATGTGAAGTGGTCCCTGAACAGGTGTTTGAAAAGACAAGCTCTGGAGCGGCGTCGATCCTGAGTTCTGAAGGCTTTCGGTGCTTTTCGAACAGGTCGTCGGTGTGTTGTAGGGCCTGAGGCTGTGGAGGTGATCCTCGGTGCGGAGTTGATGTGGATGTGTGTAGAGACAGGGACGCCTTATGTCTAGCAGCAAAAGAGGTCCGCGTATATTCTATACGCCGTATCGTATTGTACGAGTAACGCTCGGACACTACGAAATGCCATCTAGATTGCATGTTCGTGCTTGAGCTTTCCGTAACAGGGTTCAAGAAGATCGCGCTAGTCGTATAACACTACGCTTTGATTGGGCCGCGTACTCGTTTGCGGATCCGTATTCGGCTTGTGCAGGAGTCTGCTGAAGTCGCTGCTAGGTTCAGTTCCAATTTGAAAAGTCGCTTTCAATATTAGCTTAGAGCAGATAGTCGTTTGCAAGAGCTATGGCTTGGTTGTCACCAGTGGCGGCATTGCACGCAATATTAGGTATGACGTAAAGCTGTGTAAGTCAGTAACTATGTTCAATATGTCAGGTTCAACTCACATGCGCAAATCATCTGTAGTGGCTGTATTTCACTACAGTGCTCGCCATAATCTCCAGAGTTTTGATAGCTAACGCAATATCGATGCGCATCCCGGCAATGGGCCCTCTCTATATATCAACGTTTTCAATGACCGCGCCCTTTGCGTCGAAACAAAGTACATGCAGCTATTTCCGGTACTGGGCTTCCTCATCTTGGGGTATAGGGGTTTTGATGGCTTCGGAGCTGCTCCTTCGGCCAGTCCAACCAGCCGCTCCACTCGCTGGGGACCAGTGCTTCGGCAACGCGCAAGATTTGCTCGGCCATACCGGCCAGATACCAGTGTTGAACACTACTCCGCTGTAAGAGAACAGCGTAGTGTGCGTAGATGATGAGCGATCCAGGTTGTCGCTCTGATAGTAGCTCCACGTAGCGATCGCTTACGAAGTGTATCCAGATCTTCAGGAGTGCGTCAGAGGGCGGTTCGTGAGATTTCTCCGCTGCTTCAAAAGTGAGGATCAGAATGTGAATGGCAAAGCCGTACGCATCAACAATATCAGGAGGGTAGAGCTGGTGTATGGCTTCGGCAAACTTGCGTAACTGCACGAGTTCGGTATCGATCGGCGGTTCTTGGATGAGCCAGTCAATGCCCTGAGTATCTTTTGGTATCAGCTTCTCCAGGACAGACGCTTTCATTGCACTGTAGAAGCTCGAAACCATTGGCCGGACTCGTCTGGTCAGAGTGAAGTTGGCCAGTAGAGACTCCAATGCGTGTTCTACGTCGTGGCCAGAATCGACAGAGCTTGCGCAGGAGTATGGGAATAGTACTCCTGCAAACATGAGGACAGCTTTGAAATTACTCTCGTCGATGTCACGGACAGAAGCTTGAAAAGTCGCAAGAGCAGTGTCGTGATGCCTACCGCCTATCAGAGCATACTCAACGGCTCTTGAGCTACACTCTGGAAGCCGACTAAGATGGAGAGCGGCTAGTGCGAGGAGCACGTGAAGAAGAAAAGGATACTCGAAAGCGGTCTGCACGACTACAGTTGCGTAAATCCCATGGGCCTCTGAGTCCGCTCCGAGAGATTGAGCGGTGACGGTCGTGTAATGATGTAGAAGACGCAATTGAAGGAGGTTGATAGCTGTTGGACCTTGTACCGGCGAAACAGGCAGACCTGGAATGGATGGCTCGGGCACCCCGCCTTCTGTTGATGAAGGTGTGTAGGTCGAGGTGACGGGCAATGGTGAGCCGATTGACCCTTCACGACTTTTTGCTGCTCGATATTCGCACGGCGTCCCTTGCTTCACGCAATTTGCGCAATTCGGCTGCTGTTCATCGCACTATTTGTAGTAATCAGCCTCGCTCATCTGCGGCTGATATGATTGGTACAGTCACACCTTCACATGACGGGCTTTGCAAGGAAGACAGCCGTTCCGCGACTTCTTGTGTGGCTTGCGCGTCTTAACCCTCTCCATTGTGGCGTTGTCACGGCATCGGCATGTATTTAATTATCGACGTGTTGAAAACGGTAGGGAAATAGTTTGAGCTTGGGCAGACAAGCGTCGTACGGTAGAGGAAGGAGCCGGTCCCGGCGCTAGTCATGCGTCATTGCCGATCCTGCATTCGCCGGCTTTGACCCGTCACCCGAGTCATCTTTATTCTGCAAATACACCCTCAACTGCCCGTATCGGATATCTACAATACCATCAGCGTGGCATCAAGAACTCAAGTATTCGTAGCTGCGTTCATGCGTGTCATGATGAGAGGTCCGTTTTCGTATGACGCCACATCCCTGAATTAGTTCAGCATATGCTTGGAAGGGGTTCACCAAGTTACCATATCAGTAAGATGTTTCTGCAGCAGTCTGTACAGTCATGTGCGTTGGTTTCTGGCAATTTCCTTTTTTAAAAAGATGCCCGATAGAGTAAGCGCGGCTTTCTCTCTTCGTGATCTGGTGGCCTAACAGGGTGCTCAAGACAGCCCATATAAGCAGGAAGAACGCTTCCTCGGCCAGGAAGCAAACTTCATCGTACCTTACTCAGGGCTTGTGACAAAAAATTTGCTCGACCAGATTGCCGATTTTAATTGCTTTCCATTCTACTTTCGTTGCTCATGATACATCTACAACTTTGACGACAGCTTTCCGCTCTTCTGAGCGGTGTATGTTGCAATAAGATCCATCAGCGCCGGGCTAAGAACATCGTACGACTCAAGACCCTCCTTCTTGAATTTCTGACGAACCTCGTCCATTCCCTTGGGATCGAAGCCCTGCTCGATGATACTGGAGACGAAGGCAGCGAACTGAGGTTCTTGCCACCCCTTGGAGTCGCTGAGCTCTGTGTGCACAAAGTCCAGGCCCTTGAACGGGTGGTCGTTGACAATACGGCCGTACATGTGGACTCCGCACTCTTTGCATGCGTTGCGCTGGATGGCTGCTGCTTCATCGACAATGTGGATCTTGTTGGCATTGGCGGTTACGTGGACCTGGTCTGCGGGCAGGACGCCAACTACGGAAAAGAGAGCGCCGGACGGCTTCCAGCATTTTGAACAGCCGCAGGCATGGTTGTGAGCAACGTTCGATCCAAGCGTCACCTCGACTTTGTTGTTGGAGCAATGGCAGTAGAGCTTGCCGCCAGCTTTGTTGGCATCGCCTTTCTTGATGCCAGAGTCGACGGAGGGGTGTAGCGAAGGTGCCATTGTGAGTGAGAACGGGAGGTAATTTCTGATGGTTTTCAGGGACGCAGCGATCGAAAACATGTTAGCAAACTGAGGGCTGCGATGCCGCAATATATACGCCTGCGGTTCCGCATCTCGGGTTACGTTACGCTCCCCTCTCGGCGAGTACCCACTTCATGACCGCGGGACCAATGGCGGACAGGCAGAGAGTTGAAAGGGCTCTTGGAAAATGGAGCGATTCCCAGCGTTTACCTGAAGCATGCGGTCCGAGAGAGTCGTGGGGTCGCCAAGTGTGTTTGAGTCCCTGATTCGGACAGAGAACCCCGCGTTGAAAGCGGAGCCGCCTTTCGCCTCTGGAACTGGAAGCCGTTGCGACATTGTAACTTTCGAGAGCGCTCTTCCCATCAAAATTGCCGCAAATTCAGCTCTGTCCTCATTGATCAAAGCTGAAAGACATGGTAGACGAAACTTGATGGGGACCGGGCGCAGAACCGATGAGTGCAAGAGTCGCTGTGGACGAGGTGCGGGAAGGCGCTACGGATCAGGTCCCGGTTGCCGGACTCTTATGTCGGGGAGAGCTAGATACAACATCACACTCAACTGTAGTCTCCAAAAGCTCCACCGGCCCACAGGTCTCGTGCAAATAATCGCTGAAGACCTCCCATTTTAAAGCTCGTATCCAACTTACCTCACCTTACGACATAAAGCCTGCTTAGCAACAACCCCACAAACGCAACAAGCAGAAATCCTTGCCACGGCCATAAAAAGCCATGTGAATTACGATTTCAAAGCGCTTCCATTCTTGGAAGACGCCCAACTCCGCGAAACACGACGACTCACAATCCACCACGGCCCGAGAGTAACTCATTCGAGTTCTCCAACATTCAGCTGCAGTATGTAAAAGCCAACTGGCAATCACTCTCGGTACGCCTCATCTTGCAATTCTGCGAGTGTGATCGTCGATGAGCGCTTTGGGTCCTCTTCATCTGGAGTGAGTCGCTACACGACCGCCGTATTGGAGCAGGTGCGGTGCAAGCTGATACTGTAGCCCAGGCGACCATAAAGGCCGGGGGTAGATAGCAAGGTCTTGTCTGGTGAGAAACATGTCGGACCAACACGAAATATGTTTTCGGGCCTCACTAGACATGCGGCGAGGCACACCGGACCGGTACTTGCAGAAATAGACAACCAATGAAGGGGATACTAATCGCCGTGTATCATCCCACACCCTTCCAGTCCAGGTCTTCTGAAGCCGTGCTGAGCAGAGATTGTGGCAAAGCGTTTCGACCAGAGAGTTGAGAACGTACGTCGCTCGGAATTGTAGGATCGACGGGTATAGGTGAGCATATCCTTCGTGCCAAGAATCATTGCAATTGCGGATTGAAGAAGCCCACCGTGAGACGAATATCAAGCTTTCGGATGGGCACGATGCCAGGAGAATCTGTCTTCAGGTGAGCTGGGCGACATATCCGAACCATCTGCACATCAGGGCGCAGACTCGGCCATGCCGAAGAAGCGCAGCCCCATCTCCAGCGAGGTCATGCTCACTGCATGCAAATAACTACGAGATAATGCCGGCTTGGGACTTGATCCGGTGGTCGTGGATGTTGAGCCTGCATCAGGACTGTGGCACCTCGAGTGGGTGGCTGTACCAGAGGCCTTCGTTGTTGCGGCTCTCTTCACCAAAGGGGCTTCGCGCTCAGTGGCCTTATTGTCAGCACCGACTCGGTGTGGCGTACAAAGTCCTCTGCTCCCCGAGATGATTGATGCTGGGAGGAGCAGTGATGGGTCTAGCCTTTCAGCGAAGGCAGCCGGCTCACGACGCTGTATCGAGGCTGCGAGACGTCGATTGAGGGGACAGCGAAAGGCAGCAGGGAGCAGCTTGAGCGCTTCTGCGAGCCAGCGAACTACATCGGCGTGAACCAGGCCATGCCCGACAATGCGATGTGAATGTCTGCCCGACAGTGCGAGACACGAACGAGTCCAACATAATCAATAGCAAGACCACACCATTCCCAGGCCGCACCCACCAGTACAACATCTCATCCGCACACGCACGCAGCGACCCACCACAACAAGTCCCAGGTCTCAGCGCAAACCGCCACCAAACGCCCATCCCACCATCTCGCCCCCGTTCATCTCAACTCTCCTCGTTCCTCGCCCCCATCCACCTCACCCCCCGCACCCCGCTCAGCCCGCGGACAAACATATTCCCCCCTCTCAGAATCCCACCTACAGCCCGGCGGGCAGACATACTCGCCCTTCTTTGGATCAAACGAGCAAATCGGCAACTCAGACGACGTCGAGCCAGACGAAGCGCCCGCTGGACATCAGCCGAGTTACGAACGCGATTTAAAAGATACTATACTCACTCATCTCTGTTCTAGTCTCCGTCTCGGACGCAGCAGCGCAGTAGCTCAGCCCCGGCTCGATGACGCAGGTGTCGCGGTCCAGGCTGGGGTTGAGTCGAAGCAGGTCCTCGACGTCCAGGTTGATGATGTGGGCGATTGATTCGCAAGTATTGGGTGGTGAAGTCCAGAGGTTCTGCTGCGAGGGCTCGAGAATCAAGGGCCTGTTCGCGGAGTCGTAGTGGTTGTAGTAGTAGAGGCAGGTGGATGGGGTGCCGGGTGCGAGAGGCAGGGTGGCGATGGTTCCGTAATTGCTCATCGTCTGCTTGAGATGTGTTTATGTTGGTGGACTTCAGACACGCAATGGTGACGCTGGTTGGAGATGAGAGCCTGGTCGGGAGACAGCTCGGGGGGTTCGCTCCGGCTAGTGAGCGCGCTAACCGTGTCTCTCGTGAAGACGCGCATTCATGCCTGCGTCAACCTGGACCATGCAGGTGCAGACCGAGTTTGATCGACGGCATCCCAATGCTCAAGTCCAACGTGCAAGTGTCGAATGCGGACTGGGCAACGACAGGTAGCACGCGCGCGGTGAAGACGCCAGACGCGCATCGACCAGAGTGCGCAACACGAGTGCAGCACTGAGGCGCGAACGAAGTATACGCATGTCGCTGCTGTCGTGCATTTAAACGGGAAGCGCTGTAATCTAGGCCATACCGACAAGCTCATGAGAGCTGGCCGATGTGAACGTGGCTCAGAAACGTCGAATGCGATGCACGACCGGAGTATACAGTGTGAAGCCGACTTGTCCAATACGAAAAACACATGTCATGCGCCGTACTCCAAGCCCTGGTATCATATCATCTCGCAAGCCCAAACGCAAATGCAGCCCCGAATGCAAAAGCAAATGCAAATCGCTATCCAGCGCAAACGCCCTCCAACACCCCCGACGCATACCTACATCAACAACGCACCTCAGCTAGTATCCATAGCCTCGCTCTCGCCCTCGGTCTTCGCGCCCCTCCCCCGCCCCAGCGCCTCGACAATGCCCTCCAGCGCTCGGACCTCCTCAGCCCTGACGCGCACGCCCTCGACGGCGCCCTCGACGCCCTCGCGCGTGTCCACGCCCCTCTTCTCCAGAATGCGCTTACTCTGGCTCTCGAGGTACACCTTGCGCTCGCGGCCCGTCTTGTCTGCGTCCGCATCGGAGGTGGTCGGCAGCGCAGTGGAGGCGAGGTGTGGTTGGAGATTGGCGAGCAGCTGGCGTAGGGAGGGGAGCTGCGAGGTGGTGAAGGAGGTGTGTGTCGCGAGGGGCGTGGGGGACACGGTGGTCGAGACGCCGTGCTGAGATTGGGGAAGAGAGAGGCCGAGATGCTTTGCGCCGTCGGCGTGCGCGAGGAACGCAAACGCACCTCGATTTGCCTGCTCTGCGGGTGCAGGACTCGCGCTCTCCCTCTTCAGCTCTGTCGCGGGGGTGAGCAGGGCGCGCAGCTGCGCAAGGGTCGCCTCGTTTCTGCGCTTCTCAGCCAGCAGCGCGACGTGCAGCTTCCGCGTCTCGACCAGCTTGCGCCGTAGCGCGTACAGCTTCTCGGGCGTCCACGACCCCGTCGCGTCCGCGGGCAGCGCCTCAACGCCGTCATAGTGACCCAGCCTCACCCACCGCGCCAGCTCCTCGTCGCCGCGCGGCAGACACAGCACGTTGCGCAGCGTCCAGATCTCCAGTTTGTCGAAGTTCTTGTCCACTGCGTTCTCCATCAGCGTCTCGAGCTTGAGCACGCCCTCCTCCATCTCGAGCGCCGCGTCAGGGTACACGTCCAGCCCATCGTCGTCCCTGCCAGGCGTGCGGCCCTCGGCAGCATAGCGGTCAGCGAAGCCGAGCAGGTGCGGCGGAGCGTTGGAAATTCCAGTCGCGAAGGTGTCGGTGCAGCGGTAGAGGACCTCGTTTATGGTGTTGATGATGTCGTCGATGAGACTCTGGGCTTCTTCTTAGCTGTGCAAAGTGGCCCGCGACGGCGGGGGGCGTACAATGGGAGGCCAGGAGAAGTGCTCGGTGAGGAGCATATTCTCCTGCTGTTGCGCATTCGCCATCGTGTGCTGTTCCGTTGCTCGAGTGTTTGCGCTTCAATGTTTGTCGCGTTGCGGCGCGAATGTTTACGCAGGCATCTCGGGCGACGCTACTGTGGTTAGCGCGCCCCGCTCGGACTGCCGGATCGAGGTTGGAAAGCGCAGCCGGATGACGTGCATTCCGCTGCGCTCCGCCAACACCGAATGGTAACACCGTGGCGTCGATGAGCATGGTTCGAGTCCGAGTTCCCGCTTTGCCATTTGCTTGGCGACCGGTGCGGGTGCTCGGATGCGGCAGGTGACATTCACATGCATGCCAGAACCATGACAGGCAAACAACAGGGTATGGGAGAGGAGGTTCGCTCCTCCCGTGCATGATATTTCTGGGCGATGGCCATGCTCCAAGCATCAATAGATAGCACCTATGGGCTGTGAGACTGAATTACCTATACAACCAACACCCACCGCCAGGCCGCGGTTCATCCTCCTTCCCTCCCTGTGCGAGCCTCGAAGCTTCTAGCACACTTCTTCTCCACCGCACCTCCTCACGTGCAGCACTGCGTTGATATCTCATCACTATCAGTACCATGCACAGGTAGTGGCATATCTTTTGATCGAACAAAGGGAATCTCAACCTGCTAGAGCGCTGTATCCACTGCTCTGCCATCCATCCACAGGGACGCGTCGAAGAGAATGATTGGGTAACCAAAACAAAATAACAATGACTCAAACGCCTCCAAGCCTTGGGGGATAATGTTAGACCGAAGCCCACAATGCGTCATGTCGCTGTCGTAAATGCAGTATATAGGAAGGGAAAGCCGGCGTGTGCGTCTATCGGAAGACACATGCAGCACATGACCGTGTCCAAGTCGTCCACGGCCGTCTATGGAGACGACGCGGGCACGGTGACTACTAGTACGCTCGTGCCTTGTCCTGCCGCTCGCGCTCTTCATCTCGCAGGTCGCGTTGCTCTCGCTGGTACCGCCGCTCTTCTTCTTGGCGCCTAGCCTTCTTTTCTCGTTCCAGACGGATCTTGTGCGCTTCTGTGCCGTCGTCCATGAGCGACTCCTTGAACCACGGATGTTGCAACGCTTCCTTGGCCGTTATGCGCTTCTTGGGGTCGTATACGAATATCCGTCTCAGGAGGTCGAGGAACTGCTTGTTGAAGTCGGTGTGCCCAGGTATTGTTTCCTGTTGCTGCTGTCAGGCAAAATTCAAAAACGACATGGGAGTTACATACGTGGAGCTTCTTCATCGCCTTGACGTACTTCTTCGACGCCTTGTTGATGTCATTGTTGGGGTAGTCCAGTTTGTAGTTTTTGAAGTATCGTGCAGCACTGCAACCGGTTAGCGGTACTCACGTCGTCGATGATAGCGTCGGCTTACGAGTTGGCAGAGTTGCGAGAGTTGGTGCGGTCTTGTTTGTAGACTGCTCTGACAATGTCTCGATCAATCTTGCCACCGCACACGGCCTCCATCATAGCCAGATGCTCGAGATTATCGTGCGTTTGGAACAGGGCGTCGCCAGTGAAGAACTCGACTAGGATACACCCTATGCTCCAGATGTCGCAGGGGAAGCTCCATCCAAGGTTGAGTATGATCTCCGGTGCGCGGTAATGCCGTGTTGAGACCACCGAAGAGTGATACTCGTCGTTAAAGGTGGCTGATCCAAAGTCGATGAGTCGAATCTCCGGGTCAAGCAGGACCTTGCGATGTCTTGCTGTGCGGTTGACCGTCGTGGACGACGATGGGACTGTGCGGTTGTACGTAAATGTCTGGTAGGCGTTCTGCACCAGGAGGATGTTCTCGGGCTTGAGATCGGTGTGGATGAGGTTCAAGTCGTGCAGGAAAGCAACGCTCGTGAACAGCTGCTTGGCAAATTTTTGTATGTGTGAGCTCGGAAAGGGCACGAAACTGTTGCTTTTGAGGAAGTCGAAGACGCTTTGTCCGTACAGGTCGGTGACGATGCAGATGTGGTTACGAAAGTCGAAGCAGTCTCGTAAGTGGATGCAGCGGTTGATGTTGTGCTTGTCGTTGGACGCGAGTGTCGAGAGCACACGCAGCTCGATGCGGCTGGCGTCACGGTACTTTGGTACTGAGCGGATGACCTTGATGGCGCACTTGGTGCCCTTCCTCCGGTCCCAGGCTTCGACGACCTTGCCGAAGGTGCCCTGGCCCAGGAGCTTCAGGATCTGGTCTGCTTGTGTGTCAGCACAGCCGAGGTAGCAACATGTCGTGGGTGCGTACATCGCTCAGTGAGGTCGGCCTCTGGTACAACGACGTAGTGGCCGTCCTCGTCGTCGACCTTCTGGTCCTTGTAGTTGCTCTTCTGCAAGCAGTCAGCACACATTCGTCCGTGCATTAGAGCGAGCCTTACGTCTGCAACAACCTGGACGTAGACGTCCTTTGCCTTGACGACCGGATTCGGCGGCGGCTGGTACAGGCTGAAGGGGTCGCGGTCGTCGAGGTCCCGTCGCTTCGCCTGCTTGGCCTCGTCCTGGGCGGCTGCTCGTGTGCGCTTCCTCTTCTGGCCGACTGCGGTGTTCTCGAGCGGCGAGATGTGGTGGCCGGTGCTCACCTGGGAGCCGAGCGAGGTGGCGGCGGTCGTGTTGAGCGCAGACGTGGTCCTGTCGGTGGAGATGGAGTGGTTGGGCGAGTCGTAGTAGGGCGTCTGGGTGGTCGAGTACGACGTGTGCTGGTTGTAGACGGGGTCGTACGCGGTCGTGCCGGCGGTGGTCTTGCGCTTCTTGTCCGTGTGGCGTACGGAGCCGTTCGTGGCCGTCCTCTGCAGCGCGGGCGCCTGTGGTGGCCGTGGCGCGTTGTTGTCGTTGTCGTCGTCATCGTCGTCGTCGTCGATGACAATAACCTCCTTCGGCAGGCCGTTCCTGTAGAAGTCGTTCCAGTCGGTGCGGCGCCGCGTGAGGTCGTCACTGGAGTCGGCCGCGGGCGCGCCCATGTCGGCGGCCGCGGGTTGGGGGAGCGGCGGCAGCTGATGCGGGTGCCTGCTGTGGGTGCTCGCAGTGCGGCGCATCTCAGCGCCAGGGTTCGAGGCGCCGCTAGCGTAGCCGTTGTATGTGGAATTGCCTAGTCGAGCCGGGGCATTTGCGAGCTGGTTGGCATTGGGCAGGCTCGTCGGGTACGTCGGGTGGTGAGGATAGAATTGATGATGGGGCGGGAGCGTGGCCGTGGCGGTCGACGGCGTGCTCATGGTGCTGCGCGGTGGTCGTGGGCCGGGGGGCGTGCAAACGCTGCTGTGCGCGCCGGGTGGGCGAGACGGGCGGCGGGCGGTGGGCGATGGGCGATGGGCGGTGGGCGAGGCGGGCGGGCGAGTGCGCGGGAGCAGTGCAGGGCGGCCGGTGCTGCGGCTGCTGTGTGCTGTGTGCTGTGTGCTGCTGCTGTCGCACGCAGTCCCAGCCTGTCGTCGAGGGCTCTCTCGCCGGGCGAGCAGCGGCTGGGCAAGCTCGTCGGGTGGCTGCTCGCTGGGAGTGCGGCGGAGCGGGGCAGAGTGGTGCAGGCAACGCTGGCAGAGACGGGCGCTCACGAGACGAGTGCGGTGCGCATGACAGAGACGTCGTCGTCGTCGTCGGCAGGGCGGGCGAGGTTTCCACAGGCTCCTCCGCAGGGCGATCGCTCAGCCTGGCTTGTGCGTCGCGCGTCCACTCGACGAATGACGCCGAACGGCCCAAGAGACGAGAAACGCGCCGAAAACCGTAGCCCGGCCTAGGTACAATATTGCCCACGCTGTTGCTTTTCGCGCTGGCGTCGTGCGAGAATTATTACGCCGTCAATGACAAACCGAGCAAGGCAGGCCGCTGGAGGCTGTGAGCTGTTGCTGCTTGTTCTCACGGGGACGGTGCTCATGAACATCGAGCTGGCGCAGAGAAGCTAGATAGTCAGATCCCCAACCACGACCACCCTTTTCGCCGGCTTCTCCGACAGTCTGCTCGCTGCGAACCATTATCAGACACCCCACCAATTGCGAGCCGCCCGCGTGCAACACCTAATGTGTGCGCTTTCTCGCGCAGTCTCTCCGCTCCGTCATGCTGCTCGCGGCATAGACCATGATGCCAGCCCTCGTTAGCCTCTCAGCGTTGCCCCCTCGAGCAACAAACTCCGCACTCTGAACCGTGAAATCCAAGACTTGACGCAGAGCCATTTATCGCTCATTATCATTAATGGTTCATGTGAAGCTGGTCTTCTCATAGCACTCCCACCGTGCAGTTGCACGACGGTGCACCACAGCTATTTAGCCAGCACGCTCGACTCGGCGTCGTCCCATTGCCTCCACGCTCCAACGCACAGACCACCTCATCAGCGCTCCACGTCGCAGAAGTCTCGAGCCCGTGCCCTTTGACACCTGCAAAGTCCAGAATATAAAGGGGGACGTCGCACGCAGATTGATTTCCGTGACATGCAGCGTCACGTGAGACTGTGCACGTCGCGCGGGACTGCTGAAGGCATGATAATTAACAACAGTCTTTCTGCGGACTCGTGCAACGGCTCCGGGGCTGGCGATATCACCGTTCGGCGCGCCATGGTGGCGGCGTCTTTTCCTTGTCGCCTCACTCCCAGTCCACCAATGGCATTCGTTTTCCAGCATTGCGCGCCATAACATAGGGCAGCCAGAGGGATCGAACGCTGACTGGTAATGCCAATCGGTGTATATGACACCGTTCGTATATCTTACTGATGATACGTGTCTCGAAGGAAATCTTGCAAGACGGGGCTTGCATTAGGAGTGCAGGGAACAATCTACCGGAAGCTCGCCTTGTAAAGGTGGTCTGCTGTACGATTTCAGCCGTCATGTATGTAGAGACCGCTCCTCGACATGTTGACTCTCTTCCTCGCTATACGCAGACAGAATATTCAGACAGCCAGCCCAATCTTCATTGACCACCAAAAATGCACGCCAATATAGAAACACGGGAAGCAAGAGCGTTCATAATTCGTAAGTCGTTTCCAAGGGGGTTCTGGCTCGCAAATTTCGCCAGGACTGGAGATGCAACCGCTTGGTGGTATGCTCTAGGGCGTAGAAGGGACAGATGGCACGTCGAGGGTGTGGAAGAAGTCCTCCACGAGTCGCCCGACGCGGTCAACAACGGCATCTATCTCGGCATCGGTGATGTTGTACGAGGGGGAGATGATGATGTGGTCGCCGTTGATGCCGTCGACAGTGCCGCCTCCGGGGTAGACGTGGACCTCGTACGGAGGAGCGAGACCTATGCGGCTGTTAGTTGAGTCCCGAAAGAAGTAATGCTCGTCGGACCTTTCTCGTAGATCTTGAAGTTTAGCTTCATGTCGGCTGGGAACGGCTCCTTGGTCTGCTTGTCTTTGACAAATTCGATCTGTGTAGAGTCAGATTTACGGCACCGAGCAATTGAGATGGTCAAACTTACACCCCAGAAGAGTCCTGCGCCGCGGATGTCGCCAACATTTGGGTGCTCTCCAAGACGCTTCTTGAACAGTTTGAACAATCTGTTGCCCTTGGTCTTGACGTTTTGCAGCATGTTCTCTTCCTGGATGATCTTCTGGACTTCGAGACCTGCGGCGCAAGCGAGAGGGTAGTTCTGGAACGTGTGGCCGTGACTGAAAGCACCAGAGCCAGGCCCGAGTTCAAAGGCGTCGTTGACTTTGGGGCTGACCAGTGTTGCGGAGAGCTGTTGGAAGCCGCCCGCAAGGCCTTTACCCACAGTCTGAATGTCTGGTGCGACACCGTCCTTCTGCCACGCGTGGAGGTAGCCAGTACGGCCCATACCGCACATGACTTCGTCGAAAATAAGGAGGACCCCGTATCGATCGCAGACGTCCCTCATTGCTGCGAGATAGCCGGCTTCGGCGGGAACGCAGCCCAGAGCCTGTTTGTGAAGTCAGCACGCTTAGGTCCGGATGTGGCATATTCCGACGGTAGATGTCGTGATCGAACGCGTTGCTTGAAATGCGTCCAGTCGTTCCTGCAATGATGATGTATGCTTGCAGGACTTGGGGAATCAACTTACAGCGCCGACTACCGGCTCACATATGAATGCAGCCACGTTTTGAGGGCCAAGCTCTTTGATCTTTTCTTCCAGCTCGTTCTTGAGGCGTGTCACGTACTCGGCTTTCGACTCGGTAGCTTGGAGATTTCGATAGGAATAGCAGGGTGAGATGTGGTGTGTATTGTGTGGTAGAACGCGTTCCCATAGCTCTCGTCGTGCTTTGTGTCCGCCCATGTCGAGGGCACCTAGTGTGGTTCCGTGATATGAACGATCTCGAGCAATGAAAATTGTACGAGTTGGCTCTGTGTTTGCTTTCTCCGTAGCGTGATACTGCAAGGCAAGCTTGTATGCTGCCTCGTTGGCCTCAGTCCCTCCAGTGGTTGTCAGTGGTATCCTTAAGAGGAGTATTGAGCCGCTCACCGGAAGAGTAGAAGACTGCTTTGCTCATTTTGCCGTCTGTCGAGGTAACCAGAAATCGGGCGAAGTTCTCCGTGACATCTGTGTCAAACATCATAGAAGACACATAAGAAAGACCACTCTGTATAGTCTTGATCATAGCCTGCTCGACGCGTGCATTCAAATGTCCAATGCCCGTCACAGCAGCACCACCAGATGCATCAAGCACGTTCCAGCCATTCTCGAGATGAAGCGTCTGCGCAGAAGCACGTTTGATGCGCAAAGGTGCGCTCCTGACGCTGCGATTGAAGAGATACGTTCTCTTTGGAAATGTAGATGGTCTTGAGGCACGGCGTGCCATGACTCGCTGTGGCTTTCGTATAGCGGAAGGTGCCATAGCTGCAGCTGGCATCTCAACGTACGCGATTGTATAGTGTAGGATGAATGAATGTTGATTGATGAGGCGTGTGCTTGTATACTAACAGTGTGCTTCTGAAACAGACAAAGCAAGTAAACTGAGTCGTGAATGAATCGGGCTGACTGTCACTTTATACTGCGCCGTGGCTGAGAGTAAGAGCGGGATGTAGTGTAATCGAGCAGCTGCCCCGTCAGAAACCCCTTTTCGGTAATCATGAGAGCACTACCAAACTTTGAGTCTCGGCACCCCGAGCCTTCCTCACCGGGCCGTCCAGAATCTGCAGATCCAAAGCCTTGTGACCCCGAGCCTTGATGTGGGCGCGGAATTACAGACCTTTCCGCGCGAGGGTCGTAAATTTGGGTACTTGCGGTGTGCAAGTGAGGCAAACGGCAGGCAGCCAGCCTAACGAGAATTGCTGAGTCAGGACACGGTGAGCAAATCCAATCGGGTTGAACGCTGCTTTGGACTTTCCACTTTCGATGCTGTCGGTGCTCATTTTCATATCGTTCGATTGGAATACCTTGACCTCGAATGGATCCGGCACAGATGCCGGATTCACGGGAGGCAAGCCACCACGCATTCTCATGCATGTAAGGATACTTGCAGTTAGCGGAAACAACTGCATGCTGTAGCCGACTGGGATCAATCGGAGTATATGTGAGTAGTGTTCGTCATCCCTGTCATAGCTGTCTACGGCATGTCATGCCGGGTAGGACTAGCCAATGGCCAAGAGCTGACACCCGACAATCTGGACATGCTGCAAGTAAGGCCATGGTTGTTCGAAATGTCGAACATAACCGTTGTCGGACCTACCGATCTACGTGCATAACAGTAGGTTCCTGAGCCCAAAACGTCAACTCTAACCGAGGTCTGTGTAACGGGTTCCTCGAAGCCTTGCAGTCGAACAACGGACGATAATTCAAGCGGCAAGACGCGCACGTGAATTCGAGTAGATCGACACGGACTGACCGCTTCTTAGCCCGCCTTGAGGGCAATCGAATGGAACGGCACGGAGTCGACCGTGACTAGCTAGTGGTGCTTGCGTTGGCATCCTCGACATGGAGCTCATGAGCACCGGTGTGGAGGATTAAATACGAAGGCGACGTCAGGCAGGCCCATGGCCTTCGCCGCGGCCCGTCCAATGTGAAGGAGAACGAGACTATTAGTCAGAGTCATGGGTCGACTTGAGCATGGGTTGGGATGCATGTGGCGCGACGTGGTTGCATGGACCATGGTCGAGGGTCGAGGACGCTAAGATAGCCGCGCTGCAGGCGAGCACGATCATTGGAAGCGGTGAACCAAGGGAGGGAAAAAGGCTGAACGGTGATGAACGGGGTTGATGACTGCCGTCCCGAATGGCGATCGTCGGGCCGGGTTGAAGGCTTGGCACTTTCGCGTGCCGGTCGACCAAAGTTCTTTTGCTTTCTAGTTGCCCACATCGCGATTTCCCCGCCAAGACATCCGGGCTTCCCCACATCAACAGACTATCACCGACGCCAGCAGCGGCACCGCTGCACGCAACTCGAGCCGACCACGGCAGAACATCGAGTGAGTGCGTTGCTTTTAGATCGCTGACAAACAATTGGCTTGTGCTGACCAGTCTATAGGGCAACCCTCACAAACAGCCCAGAATGAACCCCCGCATAGAGGAAGTCAGCGAGTCTGACAGCGACCCCTCTGAGATGGACATTGACGACATGAACGAGCTGCTTGCCGCACGCAGGGCTGACGAGATCATCTCCGCGAGGAACATCCCCGCCTCGTCTCAAGACCGCGAGGAGATGCTACAGCCCCAGGGACCAAACGTGAAGACCTCGACAGACCGCGAAAAGTCCAAGCACTACCAGTGCTTATACCCCGTATACTTCGACAAGTCGAGAACAAGGGCAGAAGGGCGACGTGTTGGGTCAGAACTGGCAGTCGAGAACCCGCTGGCGCGAGAAATGGCCGATGCCGCAGCGTCTCTGGGCTTGAGCACCGTGTTTGAGCCTGATAAGACACATCCTAAAGACTGGGCGAATCCGGGCAGAGTGCGAGTACTGCTGAAGAAGGACGGAAAATTGACAGACCCGGACATCAACAACAAGCATCACCTCTACATCCTGATTGCACAGTACTTGAAGCAGCACCCTACACAGAAAAACACACCCTTCAGACTGCCCATCGCTGGCATGCCCATGCCCAAGGAGATGCCAGAGCCTGCCATTCCGAACGGTTGGAAGTTGAACAAGATCCTGCCGCTACACTCTCCAGCCATCACAGGAGGGGGTGTTAGCGACAACTTCTTGCAGGACATGATGGCAGAGATGCAAGGGCAGATTGGAGGGCCTGCAGGAGCCGAGAGTGGTGCAAGCAGTGGCACCGAGAGCAAAAAAAAGAAGGACAAAAAGAAGAAGTGAACAGATTCGAGGGGACAGGAGGCGACCCAGTAGATTCTGGACCAGCATAACCTGGTTTCTTGTACACTTTTCGCAGTCTGAAATCCACACGCACAACACAGTGCAGAGCGAGGCTGGACCGACATATGTTCAGCCACCACACGGCACGACAGCGTCCGCTGTACGAACAATGAGGCACGGACGAACGAAACAAATACCAAACAGACTCGACGAGTAACTCGCCGTACCCTTATGTCACGTCTTCGAACGCATTTCAGCTCTCGTGATTACTCTACTTTTTCCTACATGTCTCTTGATACTTTCCAGGTAATGTGTGGCATATCACACGAGGCGTTATCTTGCACCACGCTGCAACAGACGACGTCGTGCTACACTCCGACTGGTGTGAGACTGGGCACTATGTAGCAAGAGATTGCTGACCTCTCACGCGGTGAGCACCTTGATTCTTGGCTTGTTGAGGCTGACAGCACACATGAAGGCTACGACTTTCTCACATATCCAATCTCGATGTGTTCCGACACTTCGGCTCTCACGTTACCCATGGCGTCTGTCGCGCCTGGTGGCCTGCAAGCCACACCAATATCCATCATGCGCCACACTCACTTGCAACTTGCATAAGTGCAGTAACGACTACCACGTGGCTTAAGCGTGTCATCCCGTATCCCCGTCAGCTTCAAGCCCACATCTCGCCTTAAGAAACATACCCTGGGCGCCCGCTAAGCGAGGATCTGCTCAGCTCTCATCCTCATTCGATGGCCACTTCTTCTATAGCAATCTATGCTTTCACCTAATTGAACAGTCAGTTTCTCGATTGACTTGGCTACAACCTTGCGGCAAGGAACATTGTACCAATCCACTGGGTATGGGGTACGACCCCTCTTACGGGGCGTGCTCATTGGATCCGCGTCCCGCGTGATGCCAGCCTGGGATAAAGAGGTGACCGCACCCCTTACAGCGCGAGCACGGGCGGGCATGGCTGCTCGGAGAGTGCTCAAAGCCGACTCTGGATCATGACTCTGGGGCTGTTGGGTGGTACAGAGCCGCCTCGGGCAGTCCAAAACGACCCTTCCAGCCAATCAAGGTGCATTCTAGCAGTGTACCTGCCAAGGATCTCCGAGCATGAGGTGACACTTTCCCAGTCATACTGCACGCGAATGCCTTGACTGAGATATTATCCGTGGTAGCATCAGCCTAGCAGGGTTGTGCAGCAACGGCCATGCATGCTCCAGAACAAGTCGAAAGCCACACTCGTCTAGTTTGCTTGCTGCATACATAATTTTCCAACAACAATACCGCCAAAGGCTGTACAACAGATCCGGTCCAGTGTTGCTTTTTGGCCCGCAGACCATGCCATCAGGCTGCCTTTCGGTCAATATGCATCTCTATTTGCTACATGCTGCGGCTTTCAAACACAGTAACTCGACTGCCGTACGATAAGATGTCAGCCCAGCAACGTCTGTCCAGGACTGGCCAATCTGCAAGGCCTAGAACCATGCCCACTCACATCCTCATTTGCTGACCGCACGGCCCGCGACTTCACGTATCGACACATCGTGCAGGAGTCCCCCATACCCGCCCCCACAAATACGGTATACGTTTGAGTCGCAGCAGATATCATGCCTATTTACCAGCCAATTCGGGGGTGCTAATGTATGTACATTTCCCCTCTTTTTTGGCTGCGACGGTTTGAAACATGGCAGCAATGTCCGAGCCCAATATTGAACGGCGAAGTTTTCCGCGGAAGTCCTCACCGCAAATGCTGACTTGATATCGCGGAGTAGACGCCATGTGACTTTCTCTCCAACAGACTGCCGGCGGGCTCAACTCCGGACTGCACGTCAGCGCCCAGTGCATCATTACACAACATGCACAGTATGCACAGCATGCGAGCGGCGCGTTCCATGGTCCTTCTAGCCGAACCCGAAATCGAGACACAAGCCAACGAACCGCAGACTAAGCTCACGTTGCACAGCAGATGGCAAATGTAGATGGACAGAAAAGGTAGAATTCGTGAAAAAAGATACTAAGGTCCCGATCGCGTTGCACTGTCATCGGCACGAAGCCCGCTACAAGGAGTACGTTCGGCATGCCGGGCATGTCGATAAGAAGTGGTAAAAGCGGATGTAGTAAGAATTGAAAGGATCACCGCACAACACCAAGCAATCGGCCCTTCTTCACCGTCATTGTAGGCGCATGCGGCCGCGCGGATCCTTCGCTTCAGCACCACCAACTTCACCGGTTAGAAAGGAAGGAAGAAAGGAGAAAGCACATGATTCGTCGCTCGTGGGCTGGCGTCCCGTGCCGTGACTGCTAGACGATGTCTTGCATTTGAGCATCAGAGCAGAACGCCACTGCCAGTCGAATCTCCCGGTCCCGCGGATGGGACGCTTAGGAGGAGACACCAGCCTGCTGCGCGAAACCGAGGCGCGGGCTACCGGTGGAAACGTCGTGGATAACGTATTTGCTCTTGAGGAAAATGTCACCGAAGATGTTGAAACCGATGTCGGAGTTGTCCTGGATACCGCCGAAGCAGGTGCTGGAGCCGGAAGAGACAGGAGAGTAGTTGATGAACTTGCCGGGAACGGTCTGGAGGACGCCACCGACGGTGATGGCGAAGTTGGGGAGCGTGGCACTGCACGGGAACACAAAGCCGCCCTGGGTGCTGTCGTTTGTGGCGCCGCTGACCTTGGCGTAGTAGGCATTTACGATGGCAGTGTCGACGTAGATCAGGGTTGTGCCGGTGTCGACGATGCCGTCGATGCTGCGGCTAACGGCTGTGGAAGTGCCGATCTTGTATCCGGAGGCAGAGAAACCCCAGAAGCCGTTGCTGCTGTCAACGTCGACGTAGGTGATGGCGCCAGTGTACTTGGTGGAGTCGATGAAGCCGAAGTCGTAGGTACCGGCGGCATGGTACTTGAGGTTGACGGAGAAGAGCTGCTTAGCAAGGGAGCTCTTGACGGTGTCGAAGAAGGTGGTCTGGGACGTGGGCGAGACGGTGTTGATGGTGCTGAAAGCGAGACCGAGAAGACCGTCGGTGTCCTGGTCCTGGGAGAACTGGGCGGAGACGGAGGTGGCAGCCTCGACGGCCTGGGAGGTGGCAGTCACACCACCAACAGTGACCTTATCAGCGTAGACCTTGCCAGATGCGCCGGAGCCATCGCCGTAGCTGATCTTCCAGCTGTAGCCGCTCTTGAGCTTTGAGGAGTCGACCTTGTAGAAGTCGTGGCCAGCAAGCTGCGAGGAGGACTGGAGGCTGGAGAAGACCCAGCTGTGTGATCGTTAGTATCGTATAAAACAGACATCGGCTTTTGCTTACAGATCAGCAGATCCAGTGTCGAAGTCAAGGTTGACAGTGGTGGTGCCAATGGTGACCGGGCTGAGGTATGAAGTGTCGGTGTCGTCGCTGGGATTAGCGGGCTCAGATCCCGTGACGGCAGCAGCAGCGGTCTGATAGACGTCAGTTTTCATCCTCAGACTGTACAAGTCTCGAGTGGTAAATATACATTGGCACGTATTTCGGCAGCAGTCTGGATGTGCTGAGGCACAACCTTGCCGTACTTGCGGAGAGTCTTTGCGACCTGAGCGGGACCGTTTTTTAGGTGAACGGTGTGCTTGACCTGCTCGACGGAGAAGCGGTCACGCTTCTGGACGGGAGTGGCAGCAACAGCGCTGGTCAGGGCAAGAGCCGCAGTAAGGTAAGCGAAGGAAGGCATGATTGATAACCGGTAGGAGAACCGAAGTGGAGACTAGCGAAAGGCTGATTGATCGAAGTGATACCGTTGAAGCTTGCTGGTGGATGAGTTCCAAGATGTGGAAACAGACTTGGCTTTATAACAAGCATTTCCATGGTCGCAAAAGGAGGCAGTGGTGTAGGTCTGTCACGCACAAGCTTCATCGATGCCGAGCACGATACGCCAATACCATGTGGGGCCATTCACCATCGCAATTAAATTAAGCAACCACTCCCAGCTTGGCAGGTACCTTGGTATCCGGGGTTTGAACGATCGACGTTTCGACACAACCTTCTGTTCTAGGTCGCGCTCCGGCATCGAAGCGCACGCCCAAGCGCAGTGCATGATGCCAGAATTTGATCGCTACCCATGGACAACGGCGTTTGCTACAGATGCTGAAGGTCTTGCGTGACTGAAGGCCCGAAGGCAGATGAATTACACCCCCAATCAGGCGCTGGTTGGTGAACAGAAAGATAGTCGTGACGGCCTAGCGACTGGCGTAGTCAGTGGTGACCGGCTACTCTGTCTCTGTGCTGGAACGTACAAGCCAAGACGGGAAGATATCGAGCTGTGGTCTGTTCATTGGAGCGCCATCGAATGAGGGGTCATGTGGATTGGACCATTGTTGTGACGACAGAGCCCATGATCGCCGCCTTGGAAATGGTGTTGCAGGAGATACGCCCTAGCAACCAGTCAAGCACCAATATCCGAGAGACCAAGCCTTATTCCTTCATCCTTGGCGATGCACATCGGCAGCCGACAGCCACAGCCGCTGGAGACCACGAAGGATCAGCGTTGCAAACGACGAATGAGGAACGCGGAGATGAGAGTGGATTGCTCAAAGCCTCTCTGTTTCAGTTGACCCGCACGGCTTCTGTGGAGCTGTACAAAAGTGACATGCATAACAATTACATACGAGAGCAGATGCAGCATTGACTCTGATACTAAACGCGACTGCTTCGTCAGACTGTAGACAGGACACATGGAGATGCATCTGCCAGCCGATAAGGCGAATCGAGCGAACGTCGGCCGGCGCATGCCAGAATGGCCTTCACGTGAGTCGTGTGTGCCTGTTGTGGATCCTAGTTCTCAAAACAGCGCCTGCATCGTGACAGTGGGTGTAGCTGTTTCAGGGAGGTGGCAGAGATGGCAGAAGCCCTGTCCGAGAGCCGATAATCAAAGATTGCCTCACCGAGTTAGCACGCGTTAAATGGCGTTACCCGCCTACCGTCATTGTCACCAATCACATCCATCAAAGTACTCGGACGGCACCGTCACGTTTTCAACGCTGGGCCAAACAGATGGCGTGCATTGATTTTATGTCCAACCTGCCTCTTCGGGCCCTAGCGTAATGCAATCCCGACCTCTGCCCTGTCTACTTTAGACTACTTACCCAAGATGCAGCCATCTGCCGCGGCACGCGATCTCAAAGAGGAGGGTATCAAGCAATTGCGTCAAGCATTCTCGTAGCTTGTCTCGCATCGCAGCGCAAAGGCGTTGACGTGATGGTGGTGGTCAAGCAATCGCGTGCTTATCGTGAAAAAGCTTCGCGACTCCTGCCACAATATGGACATGCAGACCGACCGCCTTCCTTCTGCGGCGCCAAGCATGCTCATAACTTACCTTAGGCGGTATGCTAGGCTAAGACGCGATCGACTGCCGTGGAGGCATTATCTAAGCATGTGAATTGTGCACATATGATCTTAGTCGAGTAGGCGACGGCCAATGATCTGATCGCTGTACTGAGCATCGCTGTGATCTACTCGGCTGTATCCTTGCTACCTTTGACGGCCCCCTCCAGCTGCTTGAGGGCTGCGTGATAAGCCTTCTTCCTGCCGTCGCATGTGACGTCCTTTTCTTTCCAATCCATACGGATGACCTTCTTACCACCTCTCCGTATGTTATTGCCTACAGCGATCTGCTTCCAGAACCATGCAGCTTCGGTCTTCGAGAACAATGTCAGCGCCTGACCGGGCTTGCCTGCACGAGCTGTGCGTCCCACGCGGTGCACGTAGCTTGTGATGCTTGTTGGCATGTCGTAGTTGATGACGTGCGTGATGCTGGGGATGTCGAGGCCTCGAGACGCTGCATCAGAAGCTATCAGGATCTTGACATCGCCCGTGTGGAAGGACTTGAGGAGCTTGCGCGCAGCATCTGCCGTAGATGCACGAGTCATGGTCTTAATGTACTTCTCAAAGGAGGACTCTAGCTCGGAGAACAGATGTGATAGTCGAGAAGCGCTCTCAGTGCTTTTCGTGAAGATCAACACTCGGCTGATGTGACCTGCGATTGACATATGACCGTCTGCCTCGGACTCATCCGAAGACGAATCAGAAGAGTCTGAGGAGGCTGAATTCGAAGGATCCATGTTCTTGGAAGACGCAATGCCTGCGAAGACGTAATTGCGCAGAGCATGCAGCAGGTGAAGCGGCTTGTTCGCACCGTCGTTGACCGGTGCTGCATACTCGTCGAGGGTCGAAGGAAGCTCAAATACATTCTCTTCGGTCTGGAACGGCTGATCCTCAAAGCTCTCGTCCTGAACAACGACAAGTTTGGGACGTCTTAGCCTCAGTGTACCCAGCTTAGTCAGGTCCTTCTCCATCGTAGCACTCAGGACGACTTTTGTAAGCTGTCTGCGGGCAGGTAGGGCCATCGACCAGATCGAGCCATGCTCGCGTTCTCTGAGGCGTTCCTGGGCGTTCATGAACTCGGGTGGTGTGTCACTGTGCAATGCGTTCATCAGCACACTCGCCCAGCCCTGGAAGTTCTGGTTCAGCAGCTGATCCGCTTCGTCGATAACCAGCCAGCGCACAGATTTGAGCTGGAAGCCAGTCGTGTGCTCGATGTGCTCCACCAGTCGTCCTGGAGTGCAGATGAGGATATCGGCGCCCGAATCGTAGCGAGGAATGTGGTCCTGGGGCATGCTCATGAGATTGTGAAGCAGACCGCTCTTCTCCACGAAGCCAGTCGCTAGTTGTTGCGCTGCCTCCGCATGCAGCTGCTTCGCTTTGGTGGGGTTGTACTGAGCTCGCAGCTTGACCAGCTCTTTCTGCTCGGTCGCCAAAGGCACATTGCCGAGCGCAGTGCCAACCTTGATCTTGGTTCCAGCGCATAGTTCCTCAGCGACCTGAAGAGCCTGGTCGACCAGTTGACGACTAGGGACAACCACTACTGCAGATAGTAGTGGAGCTGCCTGATCCTTTAGAGCCTCGATGATCGGCAGCAGGTATGCCATAGTCTTCCCAGAACCAGTCTTCGCAGACACGCAGATGTCTCCCAAATGTTGCTCAAACCCACTGTGCAGCATTGGCAGCAGTGCGGTCTGTACAGCAAGTGCGTCTTTGAAGCCAAGCTTCTCGAGTCTCTTGACGTAGTATGGTTGTGTGCCGAGCTCCTCAAAAGGTGTGGTCTTGGAGGCTTCCACGGTGATTGGTTGGGCGAGCCACGAAGGCAGGGTCGAGAATGTGGGCGCGAACTCGGGATCAGGTACAGGGGCTGGTTGTGGCATAGGCTGGAGGTCTCCAACACGATATTAGCTTTGTAGAGCAGGGACTGCAGCTTGCGACCTTACCATGCAGCTCCTCCTCAGGATCCTCGACGCCTTCCACAACTTCGTCTTTTCTGGCCTCGGCCAACTTCGAAGCTTTCTCGAACTTCGAAAAGACGCCCTTGTGTTTCTTCGAAACATCTTCATTTTGCTCCTTTGGCTTCTCGAATACCTCACTCTTGCGCTTCTTGGACTTCTTGCTAGGATTTGATGTGGGCGCGTCTTCCATGATCGCATCCTCCTGGGCTACTTTCGCTGGCGCTGCGATTACCTCCGCGGTCTTGATCTTCCTGGTTTTCTCATTCTTCTTTGGTGTCTCAGCAGGCTTAGAAGCGTCAAGGACGGTCGCGGGGGTCAGCGGCGCAAAACGCTTGAATAACGAAGCCGGCATGGCGCAGGCTGGGGGTGCTTGGTGGGATTGGAGGTGCAGCTCGTCGCCTCGTCGCTCAGAAATTCTGGGCCAAGACAAAAAGATCGCGGAGGTTGCTGACCCAAACGCCGACCACCAATGACGCGCTTGCACATGCTGTCGCGAACGTCGCGAATCTACACCTTCAGGGTCCAGCGACACCAAATACACAGCCGTGAGCTTGTTGTATATGCGCCATTTGGCTCATGTAGAGGGATCCGCCCTCACACGCTGTTGTCATGCCGTACAATATTGCGTATGCCTCCAAGCTCATCCGTCAGTCATCCGCGGCCCTGGCTAACGAGTAACAGCATGGTCAGCGACAACTTCTACCCTCAACCCGGTATGAGCTCTGCCTCAAGCTCTGAACTCTCTTCTCATGGAACGTAGGAGGTGTGGAGAGCCACATGTACCAACTGTCCACTGTAAGGAGTCGAGTCCCGTCAGTCACAGTTGCACTTCCACTGATCACCCCCAGAAACTCATTGATCGTGGACACAAGGTTGTTGTCATTACTCATGCGTACGCCGGCCGGACAGGCGTGCGCTACCTCACCAATGGCCTCAAGGTCTACTATGTGCCCTTCTTCATCATCTACCGCGAGACTGCCTTCCCCACCGTGTTCTCCTTCTTCCCCGTGTTTCGCAATATCGTCATACGCGAACGTATTGAGATCGTACACGGCCATGCTAGTCTAAGCAGCCTCTGTCATGAAGCCATTCTGCACGCTCGAACTATGGGGCTGAGGACAGTCTTCACAGATCACAGTCTCTTTGGCTTTGCAGACGCTGGGACTATCCTCACAAACAAGCTCTTGAAATTTACTTTGAGCGACGTAGACCACGTAATCGGCGTCAGTCACACGTGGTATATCCCAACTACCCTGTAAGCTAGCTGTTTATACTGACGTTGGACAGCAAAGAAAACACTGTTCTTAGAGCTTCCCTCGACCCGTCCATGGTTTCAGTCATACCAAACGCGGTTGTCGCCGAAAACTTCCGTCCGCTTTCGCAAGACCTGCCCGATTCGAAGCATCGAACAGCCCCTGGCCCTCGACAGCCACTTGGGCCTGACGATGTCATCACCATAGTGGTCATCTCGCGACTCTACTACAACAAAGGCACCGACTTGCTAGTTGCGTCCATACCCCGTATCATTGCCGCGAACCCCAACGTTCGCTTCATAATCGCTGGCAGCGGCCCGAAAGCTATCGATCTCGAGCAGATGATCGAAAGAAACGTGCTGCAAGAGAAGGTCCTCATGATGGGTCCAGTCCGTCATGAGGAGGTACGAGATGTCATGGTGAAGGGGCATATCTACCTACATCCGTCGCTGATGGAAGCGTTCGGCACAGTCATCGTGGAAGCTGCTTCCTGTGGTCTCTACGTAGTGTGTACACGAGTCGGCGGTATCCCTGAAGTGCTTCCTACGCATATGACGGAGTTTGCAGCACCTGAGGAGGATGAGATTGTCGCTGCGACCGGACGCGCAATCGCAAAACTTCGTGAAGGCAAGGTCAGGACAGATCTGTTTCACAATCAGGTAAAGCAGATGTACTCGTGGACAGATGTCGCGCAACGAACAGAAAGGGTATACGACGGTATTAGCGGCGTCATCCGGCATGATGAGTTCTACCAGGGTGCAGGTGCTGCCGGGGTATGGAGTGCTACGCGTGGTCGGTCTGGGGTGCAGAGTTTTGCACTTATCGAACGCCTCAAAAGATACTACGGCTGCGGTATCTGGGCAGGCAAGCTGTTCTGCTTATGTGTCATTGTGGACTATCTGCTCTACGTCCTCTTGGAGCTCTTTGCGCCGAGATCCAGGATCGACATCTGCAAGGATTGGCCCAAGAAGCTCCCGAGGGAGACCAAAGAGAAGGAACTCGAAAAGCCCAGAGACAGCAGCAGTCTCATGAGAAAGAGAAGCAGCCGCTACCGCCTCGAGAAAAGAGACGAGAAAGACCATGTGTGAACGGTCGGCTTGTCATGAGCAATCAACAACGGCAAGAGCCAACGTATTGTAGGAACTTCGGTATTGTGACTTCGACTAAGACTGAAGTATGGGTATAGCGCAAACTCATCTACGACCCACGAGTGCCAGATTAGATGATTGAAACCGGAAACGCCTTCCAACGCCGATAGATGCTCTGTACAAACTACTCAAGCGACCTTCACGCACCGTCGCCGACAAAGCTCATGCGAAGAACCAGTATTCGGCGGCGTAATCAACACTGATGTTGCCCTGTACTCCCTCGCAGGTCTTGGGCGCAACACCTCCAGCAGTATTGATCCGGTAGACCTCCTGGTAGTCGCCATCGACATGAGTGAGCTTCAGCCACGGGACACTGCCGAGACCATTAGGGCCCTCGCTGGCATCTTTGGGCGCATCCATTTTCTTCGGGTCTCCGACATGGACAGTGCCGAAATTAACCTTATCGGTCTGCAGCTTGAAGAATGGAACGCCCTTCTCGGTGAATTCGTGGTGGCCAGAAAGCCTGCCCTCAGCCAGCTTGGTGTCCGGGATGGAGTATCCAATAGCGATCTTAGTAACAGACGCAAGCACAGCAGGGGCGTGGACGCCATCGCAGGTAGCGTTGAAGAGTGAGGCTACTGCACCAATGGCCTTGGGTGTCTCGGTCGCTGCGGCGGTTGCGCATGTGTAGTTCTGTATACCGCGACCGACCGCGATGTGCTTAAGCTTGAGGCCGGCACCGATAGCTGGAAGACCGGATGCTTCTGTGCAATGTCAGATTGAGGTCTGCGTAGTGAAAAATGTTGGGAGCTTACTGGCAGGAAGAGCAGCATTCGACAGATCGCATGTAGCACTGGCCTGATCCATTTGATCAATCATGCGCGGCAAGATGGCATCTCTCGGGATGATGAGTGCTATCGAGTCGATCGTCCTGGTGGGTGCCGCGAAGAGGGTAGCAGGCGCAAGGGCCAGGGCGATGGAGAACGTGTTTATGAAGATCATTGTGGAATTGCGTATGAAATCCAGTGGGTCGGACGGTCGTTGTGCTTGTGTCACTACCACACAGTCAACGGATGGTATATATCGTCCAATGCTGACGAATCCGAGACGCTGATAGAGCACTGTTCTCGAAATAAAAATGCAGAGTAATCACGCAGGATGATCCTAAGCTTTTCGGTTTCGAGGCGATCCTTGGGGCGTCCGCGCTGTCGTAAGAAAAGATGCTCTTTCTGACTGAGACTAACAAACAACCAGAATAGAACCAACCAAGTAAGCACAGTAAGAACGGTAAGAACTGAACTGTATGCAAGGCCTGAGAATGAACAACAAAGTCAGTGCCTTCCATGACCCATACCTTCCTATATACACCGCCTCGCGACCTGCCACGCACACAATACTCCAGCGCCTACATGCTCTCCCACAACTTCTCCAACCGCCTGTCCCACTCGCCGCACGACGCGACCGCAGGGATGTCGATGTTTGGACAGCTGTCAGCCAATGGATGTAACTTGCTATGTTTAGACGCCTCGCTTAATTGACAAACCATCTTGATCCAGCATGGCTCCCGTTATCGACGCCCCACTTCAGCGCCTGATTGGGCTATTTTGGGGCGTTTGCTCTGACATAGCAGCGGGGAAGGTGTTGATGTTGAGTGCTCACTGCTGATGAACATCAGCGTTGTTTCCGGGTGGCTGGAGATACTTGCTCTTCCATCGACACAGCAGGGGAGGAGCGTTGTCAGCCAGCAGAAGTCTCCACAAAGAAGCTCGCTGCACGTCTCATACAGCAGACAGATACTTGTACGACCATCTACATGTCCAACCCACCTCTACATCTGCAACTGCAACCCACCAAGTCACCAGCCCATTCTCTGCGTAAGGACACATGCCCCATCCCAACCGCGCCAGGACCCGACAAGTAAACAACCGCCCTCGGCCCTCACACCTCAGGATACCAAGATCCATAGATCCTCGATGCATGACCCGCCATCCGCAGAGCCGCCCGTCACACCCAGCGCCGCGCAATCACGAACGCTGCGCGGGCCACAGAACCTGTCCCAATCCACTGCACGGAAATCGGCACCTAATCTCTCTTAATTTAGCAGATCACTGCCTGGAAGGGGATAATGAGAGCTAATATCCTTCTCCAGGCTTGAACCCAATCAGCGCTTGTCAACGTAGGTGGCAGAGGCCAATGATGGGCCGCGATGTTGGGGGTGAGTGCAAGCGCCGCCGCGTCACTATTGGCGGAACGCGAGATTCTTGGCCCGGCGTCTGGTAAACCGGCATGGTGTTGTAAGTGTGCTTTGAGGCGTGATTCGAAGGCCGGCATGGCTGTGTGGCGCGTCGAAACAAATTTCCGTGTAGAAACTTTCGTTTATAGTACCGGTACCCCTAAATGACGTGATTGCCGAGAGCTCTAACCTACTTGTGTTGCAAGACCAGAGAGAGCGGGTCTCTGGGAATTCGGAAGCTCTCACATCGAGCTCCCGCTCTTTTGGGTCCTACGGTTGGGTGATCGGAATGTTATCGCAATCCTGCAATCCTGCGGTTAGATGATCAGAACTCTCTTACAATAGAGGATTCGCCACTCTAGTGATCTATTCCTTCTAGTTATCATGGAGATGCGATGATGTGGTCTCCTTGGTCCCTCTAGGAGACGCGCGCTTGCATAGCTGTTGCAGACCACAAGAGGCAAGAGGAGGAGCTAAAGAAAAAGGCAGAGATGAAGGAGTTAGCTACTGCTAATAAGATTTTCAACGAGAAACTAAAGGAATAAAAGCGTGTGGCAGCTGCAAAGGCAAAGGAGGTGCGTGAGGGTGAGCGTGCAGAGGAACGCGCAGCCATTGATGCGCGCAAAGAGCAGAGACGTAAGGACAAAGAAGCTCGCGACGCTGCAAAAGCTCTCAAATTATCCTAAAGAGGCAATTACATAACCTCAAGAGCTTCTGCAGTCAAACAAAAGCCTGCGCGTCATGCTGTGGGTGCTCGTAGTCATCCCAAGCCTGCGACAACTCTTCCACCATGCCTAACTATCACCACCTGGAGTGGCCACACTGCCACGAAATACTAGTAGCTTTGTATTGAGAACTTCTTCGCATAGGTCTATAGAACACTCCCCCAAAAAATCTCACAATAACAACTATTGCATGTGGCTCTACAGCCTTAATTCGGTGATTACCATAAAGGCTCGGAACGATCGTTGGTTGACTCCGATCGTTGGGTGCACGAACACGGTATCGAATCAGGAAGTCTATACCCTCTAGATCAGAGAAGTATGAGAGCTGACGTCGAGGACAATGTCTAAGAGCTCGATGCCCTCTGGGATCTTTTCTTCGTCTACTGCGAGTACCACTCGTTTCGTGATGGCACAGATGCACTGTAATGCTTTAGATTCGAGACTATCGAAGAGGGAAGAGAGACTTACCACAAGACCAAAAGAGAACATATCTGATGGCGTGTGCACATTCAGCCGATGCGCGCACCTCTGGACTTCGCCACATCCAATTTCCAACTTGTCTTCCCTTGATAACACAATCTTCTGGGACATAGGCCGCATCCTCAATGTCCGCAACCTGCACTTGCTCTACTATTATCTCGCGACCCTGGTCCTTCCGTTCTATCAAGATGTTGTTCGCCTTGATATCGGTATGAACAATTCCTTTGCCATGCAGAGCAGCGATTCCACGCGGGGTATCTCGGAGAATTCGCTTGGTTACCGATATGGGAAGGATGGAATGGACCACTGACTGTGTACCGTCGGTTCTGGATCAGCTCCGGTTCATCATCCCACGGTACAATTCAATGAATGAGCCGGTTCCTAGGCAGTTAACCCAAGTCCTCAACGCGTTGCCTTCCCTAGCCCCAGAGCATGCGGATTGCGTTACAGCGTTTATTGCGTGGCTGAAAGAGAAGAAACTACTCTGCTGTACTTGCGTTGGAAAATGCACGGGCCGATGCACTTGTCTTCGGTCAAAGGCCACCCATCAAGGTTGCACTTCTTGGTGTCACGATGGCGAAGTGTTGGAATGTTGTACATTGTAGGTGAGTTATCAAAGATGCATAACGCGATGCTAAAACTAACTTACCAAAGTTGCGCTGATATACATCTTGCAGAACTGTCTATCTTTGTGGGCGGTTGTTACGGCATCGCCTCCAGTTTATTAAAGCGTGCTTTTGTACATGCCGTGTTATTCGAATCGCACGAAGCCATCAAGACCCACGACTTCGTATGTCGAGTTCGTCGTTCGCATGTAACCATATGCAGTCGCATATCCACAGCTACGTCTCTATGTCGACTAAGTATCTTGTACTCGATGTGGTAGATGAGTGCAGCTTCGGTCTAGGTGAGGTTCTGCACGTTACCACCAACAGCCTAGCTTATGGTCAGCCATCGGATTTTGAGATCGGATAGACACTAGGGGAGTTAACAAAGGCATGGAACATAGCCAGATTATGCTATAGGGTTCGAGACATTAGACACAATAGGTTAACGGGTACGTCAGCTACTATCTATGCGTAGAAGAAGTCAACCCCGCAACGTGAGGTAAGTTACTAAACGATCCAGAATCCGCTATAATGTGGACAGATTATCCTTGCGCAAAAGCGGCGTTTCTCTTTTTTGTGCAACAGCTAAATGTTCTTGGTAGCATGGTTGGGTTTCTCAAAGATTCTCTTCTAACGATTAAGAGCTCATCGGTTTACTACGTATCAACCAAGAGCTGCTTAACAAATACAGCGTTATTATCCCTATAGCAGAACAACAAATAGCGACGGCTCGCTTGTCTTGGGGTCTACGAGTGGCTCATACTGGTATTCCCAATTCGACAACAGCGGATGCTACAACGCGAACACGGTGAACGCGACGGGCATTCAGCTTTCCGTTGCAGCTCCTGCCGGCACCACATTCCGCGTCACGATGCGCTGGAAGATAGACGAAGAGTGCACCACACTCTCGCCCCCGTCCTCCGTCCCCATAACTTCCTTCGTCACATTCACCAGCGCCGACGCGTACCAAGTCGCACAGATCCCTTTTGCCGACTTCTCCGGCATGAACACCAGCAGGCTCGACAGCGTCGCACTCTCGGCGTTCAACCCCTCTGACGTCGACGTCAAAGTCGGTTGCACCAGTCTGATCAACGTCGCTGCCACGCCCTCGCTTCAAACATGCAATTGCCCTGACGACGCGTGGCTGAATTACTGCACACCAGGCGTCGCAAACCGCAACAACCGCGGCTACGTCCAAAGCGACGACGGCACCATGGAAGTCGCACCCGTCGTCACCGACGGCGCTTTGGTTCTGCAACCCAGTATAACAGGCTCATACTGGTACTCGCTCCAAAACTGCGCCGACGTCCCCGCATCTCAGTACCTCGTTCTCAACGTGACGGCGAGTGCGGGCGCAAGCTTCAACGTGCAATTGCAGAGTGGCGGGTTTGGCTGCCATGGCCAGACGGCGATACAGAGACTGAGTGTTGCGACGTCTGCGTATGGCAGTATGAACGGTAGTCCAGTTGTGCTGAGGATACCGCTGAGTGATTACACGAAGATGAATAATGGCGCTTTCTCGTTGGAGAAGATTGATGCTGTTGCGCTGGAGGGCTTCAGTGCGGAGACGTCGAGGTATTTGATTCATTGCGCGTACTTTAGTAGTGGGGGTGCGAATAGCACGGTGGCGGTTGGTTGGTTGGTTGGTATTCATTTTACGTCTAATTGATGAGGATGAAGTCCACCATCTCGCCTCCCGAAGGGCATATACGACGTGCTAAGCTATAGAATTACAGTGCGAATACACTACCCTAGAAAGTATTTCTTGCCTGCGTGGGTGTTGCTACCATGTTGTGCTACAGCTCCCCTTCTAACTAGGGAGACTGAGCAATCTGTGTACATTAGGGTGGATCCCTTGTCTGTGTTCAGAGGCAGGTAAGTGCCCGAAGAGTGGGAGAGAGGAAGAGGGAGAGTAAGAAGGAGAGTAAGGAAAGAGTAAAGTTGTTTACTGCTGTCGCAGCACAGGGTGAGCTACCAGGGGCAGACTTTGGTGTAGTACTGTGTGAGTTAGAGAAAGGCTTTGAAAGCCTCTAGATCTCCAATCAGCGCAGCAGTGTACGCTAGGCCATTATTCTGGCTGGACGGTGGTATAGCTGGTTGGAGTGGCCACCAGCCAAAGGTCCCTAGGGTCTTGCGGCAGAGCGCAAGGTGCTCTGGCGTCTTGTTGCGTCCGCATGAGCAGGTGAGTGTTGCGTCGTTGTGGCTGAACTTTTGGTAGTACCAGGCAAAGTCGCTGTGCATAGATTAGATTGAGAGCAGTCTAGCCAGGGTGGCTCTTGGTAGGTCCAACTTAGGTAGTCTGCTGCGTAGTGAGTAGCCTAACTCCTATCTTTTGTACCATACAGAGAGCTTAGTCTTCTTTCCAGACCACCAGATCTGCTGTGTGTGTCGCAGTGTCTGGCGGGCTATTGTCTTGATGCCTGAGAGTGTAGGCATAGCAACCTTTCCAGTTGGCGGTGATGGGTGCTGAGCTTCTAGGTCTGCCAGCCTGTCTGCCGCTTCGTTTCCTTCAATGCCTAGGTGCCCAGGGGCCCATTTGATAGAGACGTCGTGGGTATCCATAGCGCCGTGACACTCCAGGAAGGCCCATTGAGAGGTCGGGGATGCGCTGCCCTTCAAGCACCATATGACGGAGGTGCTGTCTACGCACAGCCAGATTCGGCGGGTGCGGAGCGCTGGATGTCTTATAGTGTGCTGGAGGCCCCTCCACGCACCTACTGCTTCCGCGTCAAAGACGTGTGAGATAGGGTGAAGCGACCCGCGTCCAGTATTAAGTTGTTTTCTGTCCTGGTACACAGCAAAGCCGTAGGTGACCTGCCTTTCTCCTTCTGTTGTGTACTGCTTAGAGCCGTCTGAGAAGATGGTCACGTCTAAAGGTGGCAGGTAGGCCTACTATTCTTTGAAGGCCTTTGCTGTAGTCTCTTTGTCTATGCCTATTGCTGGGTCTGTTTGGCAGCTGGGCGAGTAGTGGGGGGCTGTTAGTATTGTCCTAGGTATCTCAGGCAGAAGAGATCCTAGATACTGGACTTTGGTCCGCATTCGTTGCAGCTTTCCAGCTGTCCTGCCTACGCTCATCCTGATGGCTGCCATGCGGCCGGCAAGTGGGTGTTCTGCATCTACAGTGCGTAGATGTGTCGCAAAGCGAAGTTTGGCTTCTTCTAGCGCGTTGGCAGCTGAGGGTAGGCCGGCGTCTCGGAAGAGAGTAGCAGTAGGGGTCGTTCGCCACACTGGGAGGATGCCTCTTGCTGCTATAGCCAGTGTTTTGTCCATGACCGCTATATGCCATCCGACATAGGCGCTGACTTCTGCTGGTCTGCCAGGTTTCAGTGTTCGTGGAGGCTTAGTACGGCCTCTGTACCAACACTCAGCCCCATACAGAAGGGACGGATATACGCAGGCAATAGTGGCCTTGCGGAGAGAGCTGGCTGGTGGTCCGTAGGCCGTGTTTGCTAGGCTGTGGATGTGATAGGCCACCTTGGCCGCCTTTGCGTTGTGTGTGGCTACGTGCTGCTTAAAGGTAAGTTTGTGGTTAAACCAGATCCTAAGCTAACAGAGGGCTGGCTAGTTTCTTGACCTACTTAGTAAGATTAGGTTAATTGTAAGCTGCTCATCCACCACACAGGGTGGCGCGTAGTTGCTCTTTTATTAAGTGAGGTAGATCATCTCTTGTTTTTCTAGGGCAAAGGTGACCTTATTCGCTGTTCCCCATGCTCTAATCTGTTGTAGGTCTGCTGCTAGGAGCTTGACGTTCTCATCTAGAGAGTGCGAGGCCTGGTATAGGCATATGTTGTCTGCGTATCTAAACCTTCGTTGCGTGTCCATAGATAGTAGCTTAGCTAGGTACAGTGTGTATAGGACAGGAGAGAGGGGTGATCCTTAGGGCGTGCCACAGGCGACCAGGTAGCTAGGGGTGGTGACCTAGCTAAGGCGCACCTGAACTCTTTGGTCAGTGAGGAAAGAGTTAATAAAGAGGATCGTCCTTTGCAGCCATCCCTGTTGGGCTATCCAGTGAAGCAGGCGGTTCTTGAGGAGAGCGTTAAAGGCGCCTTGCACGTCTAAGGTGACCATAGTAACGTGCTAGCCTTTTGCCCAAGCAGCCTCTGTATTGTGAGTGAACGCTGCAGTAAGATCTACAGCAGAGCGCTTTAGGAGGGCGCCTCCATGTTAGGGGCTAAGGATCTTGTAGGTCATAGCCGTCCACGCGATTCTTCTAGCCACTGTTCGTTCGAGCCCCTTTCCAATGCAGGAGAGGAGTGCTATAGGCCTCCATGACTAGGGTGACGTCCAGTCTTTCTTTCCTACCTTAGGTATCATAGCTACTTCTGCTAGCTTCTACTGTGCAGGGAAGTGGTTTAGTTTAAGGCACTGCTAGAAGATCCGTCGTATAAGTTCCCCAACCTAGGCCTAGCAGGCGCAGAGCAGTCGCACTGTAGAGCAGTCTGTGCCTAGGGAGGTGCTGGTGACCCCTATTGTGTTTCGCTCAGACTCCTCTAGTGAGATGTGTATGCTCCACGGCAGAGGAGCCGCAGTCTCCTAATCTGGGTGGTGGCTGAGATCGTCATCCGCTGTGTACCAATTGAGAACTTCCTGTCTAATTGCCTCAGCCTTCTCTAGGGGGTCAGATATTGTCCTGTTGTCTATAATAAGCAGAGTGTCCTGGTTCTCTAGTGTGAGCTTATGCTAGGCAATAACCTTAAACAGATCCTTGTTGTCCTTAGCGTTATTAATAACGTGCCTCTAGTATTGCCTTTTAGCCTGTCTAACTGTAGTCTTAAAGGCTTGTGTTTCTTCTAGCAGAGGTCTGCCTAAGCAGTGCTGTCGAGCGCGTTTGTGGGCTTGGTAGGCATTCTTGCATTCCTTAGTCCACCAAGGCGCAGCGCGTCCCTCCTTGCGGTCGAGCTTGCCTGCTGTTTGTATAGAGTGCTGCACGGTCTCTGTCAGCAGCGCAACACAGTTGTCTAGTTGTGCCACATCCCGTGCCGCACGCGGATTGGGGATGCTCTAGACGCCTATTTCTACTAGCCTAGTGAACTTTAGTAGGCTTGCCTCTAGGACTCTATAGTAATACTAGTCTAGGTGCGGAGTGCTAAGTGTGGAAGTAGAGACAGAGGTTACTATCGTCTTGTGGTCTAACCCACTGTGCATGTCAGCATCTACAGCAGAATGAGCGAACGGGACATTAGAGAAGGTGAGATCAATGACATGTCCAGCACAGTGTGTCGGCTGTCCTGGCACGCCAATATAGTCCATAGAGGCGGCGGCGGCCCACCTGGCGAGCTCTATGCCGCCGCTAGCTGCGGAAACAGTGGGTTTGAAGGATTCGTGTCTGACGTTGAAGTCCCCTCCTATAACGCAGTGTTGGGGGGGGGGGTGTGAGATGCGTAACGTATTGGAGTACGTCTGGGGTAAGTGGCTGTCTGTAGCAGTTTAGTATCGAGACTCCGTTTACAACAGCCCACAGCAGGTCTGGGTGATCAAGACTTTCTCTAGTCTGGAGTTTGAGGTGGTGCCCTTTGCAGATATAGGTTATCACCCTAGGGCGGGCTGAGCCTAGTGCGTTAGGAGTGTCCTAGGTGCTGATAGGTGCGAGGTGTCTAAAGCCAGGGTGGGTGGAGGTCCTTAAGTTAGCACAAGTAAAGGGCTCTTAGACGCATACAACGTCCATGCCCTTCTGGAAGGATACTTCTAGTATTGTAATATAGCAGGGTGAGCTTCTGCTGACGTTGGCCCAGCATATGCGGAGTTGGTTTCTCTGCTGGCTAGGCTGTCGATGCCTGTTGTAGGTAGAGGGCATGTGTGGATGTCCTAACATGTGGATGGTGGCTCATCGCTCATGCTGGTGTCCTCCCTCTCTAAGGTGGAGGGGTTAGTGTAGATGGTTGATTGTGGGAGCAGACTGTTGGCAGACATGTCCCTTACATTCAGGTTTGCACGGCCTGCAGCAGCCCGTCTTGGTCTCTTTTCTCTGCCAGTGGTGGGCAAGGATGCTTGTGAGGCGCTGCTTGTTCCAGTTGTAGCTGTCCTGCTGTCTTCCTCTGGTGCATTCCTCTGGGGAGGAGGGTGGGGAGCTAGTATCTCCTGGGCGGCCTCTAGGGGGGTATCCTCATGCTGCGGCGACACCTGATTGAGGGTCTCTTCTACCGTCCTGTTGAGGTGCTGGTATGTTGCTCTGCCTGCGCGGTGGATAGCGTTTAGTTCAGTATTGGTGGGCTTAATGATGTGTCCATGCACCCGCCAGGGGGCAGCAGGGCAGTTGGAGTGACTAGCTGGGTGTGGGCCATGGCAGTTAGCACACTTAGCTTTATGAGGGCAGTTGTCTCTATAGAGCCCTTAGTGTCTATCTGTGCGATCCCCACAGCGCACACAACGGGCTACTCGAGTACAGCGAGCAGCGTTGCAGTACTGCTGGCAGCCTGGGTTGTGTCGCTGTATAGTAGGGTGTTTATGGATTTCCTTTGAAAACTAGCTGGTGCCAAAGAGCTGGAATGAGCAGACTAGCTCTTTGTATGATATGATCCAGGTAGTCAGGCCATTCTGGTTGGCTCCATGTTGTGAGGTTCTGCAGCTGACTAGCTGCTTGCCTGTTTGTGAGCGGGCCTCTTCCTCTACTAGCTGGGTGGTAGTAGGTAATTTGGTACTGTCTAGGGTCTAGAAAGAGCTTAGTACTCCTTGCACAGCGTAGTTAATCTAGTGTTCTAGGATCCTAATTGCATCTCTACCTAGGGCTTTTACTATAAGCTCCTAGCTTTCTTGTGTTAGAAGTTAGTCCTAAACTGTTCTACTTGCTGGCGTGATTGCCCAGCCTGTTTTAATTGGCGATGCAGTAGGGATGTCCTAAAGAGTGATTCCTTCCATACTCCTGCATACTGCCTGCCTTACTGCAAATAGTGAGGGTTGTTGTAGTCGCATTGCTGGATTAGAGATAGCTATGAAGATTCGATTGTCTTCTTTGGGCTTAGCTGGCGGGGCAGGCCGAGATCTAGCAGGGTTCAGGGGTCGGCTGGCGCCCCTATCCGACATTTGGGGGTCTCTGGCTACGTCCGCCCAGGAGCGGCGGCCTGAGTCCTGGCTCCTAGAGTTGCTGTAGCTGGCATCGCTGCTCCAGCGGGAGCTGCTTGGGGAGTTGCTTGGGGAGAGGGAGGTCAGGGCGTGGATAACTTTCTGTTGCAGCTCCTCTGCGATCCTAGCTTCTTTGGGGTTAGTGTAGCCCTGAGCGTGTTGATCTACGGCTGCTGCGAACGCAGCAGTGATGGTGTTCCATAGCTGGGTGATCTGCTGAGTCTCGATGATGTGGCGTTGGACGGCGTCAGAGACTCGAGGTTTGGGAGCGCCCCCACCGGGGTTCTGGCGGCTCAGCGGGGGTGCCTGGTGATGCACATCCCTCTGAAGCCGTCTTGAGGCGCGGGTATCAAGCTGCTGAGGGGACTCGGGGTCAGGGGACCCCGTGTGATGGGAAGGGGGAGGCTCTGCCATCCTATTGAGCTCCCTTGCGCGTCGCGCGGGGGGCCTAGGCGGACGCTAGAGTTGCTCCCAGAGCGGCCGCAGTGAGCCGGATCGATTGCTGGGATTTTTGGAGCCTCTGTGAAGGAAGCCCAAAAATCAAAAGATTGGTGTTCGGTGAGCACGGTGGCGGTGAATGGTACTGCGCCGTAAAGTAGTTGTTGATAGACTTTAATCGTATTGTCCATTCCATTGCGCAGTCGAAATATTCCTAATTGGCTAGGCTGCTTGCACGAATGAGACGAGACCTCCATTGAGAGCGCGATACGTTGTGGTCAGGTGTGCTAGCCGACATGCCTTCATGCGAGAGCACTGAACAGCGACAAGATGCGCATTTTTTATCGAGCGTATCAAATGTCCAGACCTGTATGCGCGCCTCGCTATTGCTGGGCGGCAGCATCAACTACTAAAACGACGTAGCAGAGTAACAGCATGGCCCAAGACTGAGGAAATCCATAAGCTAGCCCACTCCAGAGTTGTGTGAAATTACGGCTCAGCAGAGGGCAGCACTTGTGCATGCGGGGCTACCGTTCGGACAGCACGAGAACAACACTCTCGAGAGAAAGACCGACTCTTGATTGGCCGGCTTTTACGCCTAAGTGCGGGGTATCCTTCACGGCATCTGCGCTACGAGGCGGCTGAAGAGTGCGCCCCGTCACCACGGCGCTGGATTGCGCTCCCGGTGTCCCGGAGTTATAATTAGAGTATGACTTATGTGCCCAGCGTTGCGACCGCCTGCAGCTCCCTGTGAATCTGTGGTACGTACTCATCATGAAAAAAACGCAAATCCGCGCTGGAGAACTGAGCCTTCAACGATGCGCATGCTGTGACAGGACGATGGTGACGGTTTCTTGCGCGGAGTTGGAGGCCGCTAGCGACCTGTCGCACTGTCGCAAGCAGTATTCCAGGGCTGCCTCGAATGTGACCAACAGATCAAGTCCAGAGGTAGATTCCTGATGAATAGAACTCGGCTTTTCAATGGCACAGATGGTACGCGTATCTATGTAGCTTTGTCCCTATATCCAATACCTTACCTAGGTAGCACAACATGCATCGAGGCTGCAGCATCAAGCCTCCTCACGAGTGCATATGCCTTCTACATGAGAGCTTTGCGCTTCCACTATACCAGACTGCAGTGTCGCGCAGATAGGAGCATACCTAGGTAGTATGGAGGAACAGGGAAGCTCATTTTTATCACGTCACCGTGCAAAACGGGGCACGTCATCGGTAGGTGTATGGAAGGAATCACGGCTCAGCTTTCTCCCTTTACATAAGTTAAGTGCCATGGAAAACAGCACCTGGGTCGCTCAAAGCCGGGTGATTGGACGGGTTCAATGTGCTGACATCATGTATGCATGTCCCTTGCAGGGAAGATTCAGCTACCTAGGTAGTCAAGCGATAACAGATCTTCTACACAGCTGCAAAGGATGACTACCTAGGTAAGAGTGCTAATTTTTCGAAATTTTCTATGCTATCAAATTGATGGAAGAAACCCGTTGCGCAAGGTCGTAACTTTTACAAAAGTTATGGTCGTGGTGTTGCAGAGTTGAACGGTCTGTAAGCTAGGTTTTCGTGTGTAGGTAGGTATGGTTCTAGAGCCGCCGCCATGTAACACGCCTTACTTTCACAGCCGCTGGAATAGCACTGGTGCGCCTGGCCTTTAGCCCAAGAAGCCTTCCTCCTTAACCTTGGAACATGCAGGTGACGACGAAAGCTCAAGAGGCCCAGCCCCAGCTCACCAATACCCGCACAGAGTAACACCATCTGCCTAAGTTCGCGGTTCTGTTCCTTGAAGGTCGCGCAAATTGCCACGCGACGCCGCAATGTTAGGGGGACCGACGCGCTCCACACCCACGACGCGCAAGCCTTGGAGGCGTGTCAGCGGAAAGCGCTTGGGCGGTATAATGCTAACGGGCGACGTCTTGTTCAATCGCTGCAGTCACTGATGTTAGCGGTACTCCATACGCCTAATTAAGGACGAATACACGTTTGCCCGCATAGAGCACTAAAGGATTAAGGCATGATAATCCGCAAGCGCAGCCTCGACCCGGATTTGGCGTTAAGCCCACTAGGTATCACGGCTCAGCAATTTCAACACGCCTAGCCCCGTTTGCGCGAAAGTTGAATAAAAAAGGCACGGCCGGGGGCGACACCAGCCATTGATTGGCGCACATAGCAGCAATGCTATTTGCGCACTGCTGACGTAAGATGATCTTCGCGCAGAGTCTGGAGGGCGCCAGGGATTCGCACGCATGGTTCAGCTGCCTTCACTACCGTCGAAATCACGTTGGAAAACAAACACCTGGGAGGGGCGCCACCACCAGCGTCGACACCTGCAGCGCGGCCCCAACAGAATTCGTCCGCACTGATCAACATTTCAGGATGTATCGTTGAATACCCCAACGTCCAGCTGCAAATACATTGCGCAAGTTCGTCTCAAAGCTTACAACCCCTCCATGGCTTTAATCGATTGCGACACTGTCACACGATAGTGGCAGATGTCTCGGGTGGGGCCGAAGGCTGCTATCGAGCGCGGCACTGTTGAACCCTAGTCAGCTGACTTTGTGTTTCCCGGGCAAGACGCGCATGAGGTGAGCTCTGTGAAATCGCAGACACCGGGTGATCTTTCCTGAGCTTTTTTCTGCATAGCTTTGAGCTGCTTACCGTAGTTTTGTTGTCAGGGCCACTCATCCATGGCCTGAACATGATCACAGCATCGCAATAACGACGAGCCGATGAATCCGAGATTATGCATTCCAAGCTCAGCACAGTGTCAAGCTTGCAAGTATTCAGCCTGTCACAAGCGAAGATGGCTTCCGAGAACATACACTACCTATGTGGGGAGCACGAATCAAGAAGTGCAAGGCGGAGGTAGAATTACGGCTCAGCACTCCATGGCACTTTTAGCGTAGATTTTTGCAGAGCCGCACGCAACTCGTAAAAATCAACACTCGAGTCCCTCAAAGCTAAGTGATTGGATAAAAGTGAAGCCAAGACTCCCAGTCGGCACATGATGCCCCACTCATGCAGTAAGCCTGGATCCACCACCGGTCCGTTCCGCTTGTCCAAGCGATGTTATCAGCCAATAGTACATCTTCTGTCTTGCGGTTACCACTTCTCACGCAGTGCGTACAAGACGCAACTATGCGTCTCCATATGTTCTTGCTACCTATTCTTAGGTTTCACGGCTAGCAATAGTCGGCAGACTTTCTGACAACAGCCGAAACTTTTGAATCCTTACCTACCTTTTACAGTCTACACGTTGGCAAGTTTGTATAGTCTACATGCTTCGCAGTCTTTCTGATAGCAGACCCCTTGACTGATTAGAGGAAATGTTTCTCGCTTACGCATTTACTTAGCAGAGACGCAAAACCCTATAACAAGGTACTTATGAGCGGCATGGCATTACTCGACTACTACAGGGTTCTTGGATGGCTCGAATAAGAGGAAATGTGTGTAGTTATAGTGTATTGTAGCTTGATCCATGAGGTATAACAAAGCCCGGTTCAGTCTATGGACGTTCGCTCGTGGGGTGCGTCTATCCAATCTGCGTCCCCGATCTATGTACCTGAAGCAGTGGGTTGTTCCTCGCCGTCTCTTTCGGCGATGCATTGCCTACCCTTTTTGGACTTGTGATGACTGCGCAGTATATCTAGTCTTGCAAAATTGGTTCCACACCCCCACCTTCCACCGTTTGGAAGTGCGCCACCGCATGTGACTGTGTTTGCTGGATCATGAAGTTTCATATGGCGAACAAGATCGCTCCTCCTGGCGAATGTTGCGTCGCACCCGCTGCATGGTGATTTCTCATCGTCACCATGCGTTCGAAGATGGGACTTCCAGTTGAACTTCTTCTGGAAAGTCTTGTCGCAGTGTGCGCACTTGTAGTCCTGCTTCACTTTCTGACGTTTAGTCCCTCTGGGCTGCGTCGGCTGGGGCTCTGTCTGATCTGGGGTGGGAATGACTGCTGGATCGGGAACATTTGGAAGTTCATCCTCGTCAACAGTGTCGGGTTCTGGTGAAACTTCCCGTATACTATCGTTGATTTCCTCATCTGTTGGAAAGTCGTAGCGGCGCACAGTGAAGTCTGGATGATTCTCTCTCCGATGTCGGCCTAGTTGCTCCGGTGTTGCAAACCCAATTTGAGAGCCTATGCAATGTTCATCGGTACAACGAGCTGGACGCTCATGTAGCTCAACATGTTTCTCACGCTGTTCCTGGGTCGAGAAGCCGTCCGTGAAATAGTTGCAGCTGAATTTGGGACACTTGAACAGATTACGGCCATATCTTTCTTTCAGAGCTTCAGATGCCTCTGAGTCTGGGTCCTCGAGAACGTACGCTTCCACACAGCCACGAACCGCCTTCACGACGCTTGCGAAGTCTAAAGCTGATTTTTCGGGGCGCACATCGCTAAAATCCTTGAGTCCTTTGTCAGTCGAGATAAGTGCTAGGCAAATCTGGTGGGAGCTTCGACAATGACTGAAATGCTGAAGCAGATCCTTGGTCCGGTTAGGAATCGATCTCAAGGTTGAGACACTAATAGCAGTTGACTCGTTCCAGTATTGCTCTACTAAGACCTCAAGGGACTCCGTAAGATTCTGGCAGATGCTGTTGTGCTCAGGAAGGGCTGAGTTCATCCCTGCCTCCAAATGCCGAAGCCAATAAGAAATGGCGTATTCCATAAAACCGTATTCTCCGGTCAGTACCTGCTCTTTGGAAGGACTTTGGAACGATGGTAAGTTCAGGTAGTCAATGCAGAGCGTTGCCATCTCAAGCCCGGTATCGATAACGTCGAGAAAGTGACTCTTCGCGAGATATCTGCAGGCGACTTAGTACAAGACCCTCGTGGATACAATCACGTTTCACCTACGTCCTGGCAGTCATGTGAACCAATTCGATACTCCCGTCTCCCCGAACATCGACCAGCGATTCGCAGAGATCCTTGGGGTCAACACGAAACTTTCGCCTTTCAAATTCAACAGTTCTGGTGTCGAAGTCGATGGATCTCATCGTCTGGACTTCGTGTAGCTTCAAGGGGCGTTTTGCACAAACAAGCCAGCCAAGAAGCATCAACGCCTCATCACGTTCGGCAGTAACAGGCTTGTTCACAATGGTCTGCATGATACGGGCATAGCTGAAACAGAATAGTTAGCCAGCCGAGCTGATAACACGGAGATGCATCACTTACACCTTTTCCAGCTTGTCCAGATCAGTGTCGAATGTTTCCATCTCGCATTCTAAACGGTAGGGGGAGCTCTGACCGCAGAGGTTAATCCAGACGAGATGAGCGAAGAGGAAAACCCCTAGCATTCGGTCTCATTAGTCAAGCGAGCCTGTCATTCGGAATCGACTTACCTTCAGCTGCTGCAGAAACTCTTCTAGCAATCTCGTGCGCGTATTCTTCCGTAGTACCAAGCTTCTCGATGAGCTTTCTAGCCTGTACCTCGCAGAAAGCTTCAATGTCCTCTTCATTGTTATCTGCGTCTGCTGTAATATTCGGAATGTCGCGATAGTCCTTTCGGGCGCTATCATGTTGGCTGACGAACAGACAGTGAAGTCGTCCACGAATCTCCGGAGGCCCGTTCTCGAGAAGTTTTCGAAACCAGCTTGCGATATCTCCTCTCTCTTTCCTCGTGCAGCATTCATCTAAGCCGTCAAGCACGATATAGGCCGACTCACAGTTGCGTAAAGTAAATCCCAAGAGTTCCTCGACAAGAGCACGAGAAGGAAGCAAAGTGCCCCCACTATAGCATTTGCTATAGAAGTATTCAAGAGTGTGAGGGTTCTGTTCAAGAATTTGGGCAAGCAAAGTACGGGCCATGGATATGAAATTGTTTCGGTCGCTGTCCTCTTGCTTGAAGTAAAAGAACAAGATTGTGGGACTCGAATCGAGCTTCCTGGCTTCTTCCACGACCAGGGATGCAAGAACTGTCTTCCCTGAAATCACTGTGTAAGTTGTTGTAGAATACATGGCCGTCGGAACTTACCAGCACCAGGTTTTCCATTCAACCACAGGAACTTCGGAGGCACTGCCATGTCGGGTTGCTGAATGAACCACTCTTGGAAGGTTTCGTCTTCTAGTAACCAGGTACAAGTCCCTGGGTACTCAACACGCATTCGCCTGAGATACTCTTGATCGTTTTCCATGTCAGTAGGTCTCAACCATGCATACACGGTCTGTCGGCAATCCATGCTTTTACTACGCATTTCAGCGGCCGATGTCTGCTCTTCGAGAGTAGAAGCAATCACGAACAAGTCGAACTGATCTGAGTTTGCCCGATCGCGAACAAGCTGAAGGCGAGATAGCATACGAGATATAATGCCTGCTATCTTTGATCGAAGTGGCTTCCACGTCGTCGCGAACAGCTCTTTCCAGACTGAGGAACGTTAGCACAAAGCCAAGATCATACAATGAAGCTGCCTTACGATGCTGTCGGAAGTAAATTATGAGTGGCAGATTGACCGCAAGGATATCGGCATATGTCGCCGTGAGAATCCTAATCAGGTCTGGCTGAGTTGTGAACAGCTCTCTGTACATGAATACGTCGGGTTGGGCTCTTCCTATCTGCTCGTAGACGTCGAGAATCTCATTGAAGGCGTTAGTGTTGCCGTCTGTTGCCTGTCTTTTACATCAATCGCGTGTCATGACTAGTTTAGTCGAACATACCTCCAGCAAGAATCTCACAGGGCCCTAAACAGCCACGTTAGCTTGGTACTAATCCGTAGCCTGGGAATTGTATACCCAGATTGATGCCATGACTTGCTCAACGTTGGGTAAATTAGTGATCAGTCCGCCAAACTCTTGGAACCTTTCGAGAAACAGCCCCAGACGGCCGAGACCTTGCTGGCGGCGCTCTCTGTGTTGTATATGCTGCAAGTTAACGATGTACTGTTTGAGATCAGTAACGGTCGTAGCACAGAATGTTGTTCGGTTTCTCCAGGTCAAGCTTTCCTCGAATTCGGCGAGGTACATCTCCATCCGAGAGCCCAAAACATGTGCTTCCTGCAGACATTGACCTAGACTAAGGTTGTCAATTCTATTGTCAAGATCAGTTGCGGGGTAAGATTCCTTGCGCAACGACTCAAGCGTTTCGACAACATGCGCTGCATCGAGTCTGATATCCCCATCTGGGACTTCCAGTAAGTCTGCGGACGCGCGACCCCACCTGAACATCTTGTTCAAGAGGTCGAAGAACTTCTCGTTGTAGAACTTCTTTTGCAATTGCCTTGTTGGGTCCTCCAAAATAGGCGACGGGCTCTGAACAAATTCATAGAGCTGTGTATGCATGTGTAGCACTGCATTCTTGACCTTTCGCCCAGAGAAGAAGCGCGGAGTGTCTTTGCCAGATGGCCCATCAGCCATGCGAGCCTTCTTGTAGTGGCTAACTCCATCCCGGCCTTGGATGTCACAAGTTGCGATTTCAGACATTATGCATGCCAGTGACCATACATCGCATTCTCGAGTGTATTTGCCTTGACGAGGGGCGGCATAGTAGCCAGTGTTGTGCTCGTTCGGAATACCGGTCGGGTCGGTTTCAGCTGGCAACGTTGCCGGCTTTAATTCGAGCAGACCAAAATCTGCAATCTTCATCGTTCCCTTTACTATCAGGATGTTTGCGGGTTTCAGATCCTGGTGGTAAGCGATCGTGGTCCCTTTGTAAAGTTTGTGGAGAGTGTTGAGCCCTTCAGCAACGCCTTGCATCTGCGTCCAGAGCTCCGGGGAGTCGAATATGTCTCCTGGTCCCTTGAGGTAGTCGTGAAGTGATCTGTCAGCTTCTTCCTGCAAAATGAAGAAGTGACTACCATGCCAGTACGCGCCCAAAGCCGCCATAAGGTGAGGGTGGTCTTCCTCTTTCGAAAGCCTCTGGAGATTGTACCATTCTTTCGCGGAGTCTTTGACCATACCATGCCTGAAGATCTTGCGAGCAAACCTTTGAATATGCTGCAAAGTTTAGAATACAAGTGCAATCATCCTGTAGGGGATCTTACTGGTCCAAAGTCCCGCGACCGATAATCGTCGTCTTGGAATTCGAAACATCGGACTTCTGCAAATGTTCCTTCCCCCTTGAGCTCTGCATCCTCTTTGATCGGCAACAGCTCTTTTGCCGGGATGAAGACGATGTCTGATGCGGGTCGAAGTGTCCGTACGAGAAAGCTATACTGCCCGTCCAGTATTTTCCTTTGTACTACCCCTAGATCACCTATCTTTTCACGACGCCTTAAATTGTCGAAGTCCACGTCGGAAAGGTACTTGGTCCCTTCCAGCTTTATTTCGTACTTCTGGAACACCTGGATGAGACCAGGGCGGAGAACATAAATCAGTAGTGCGTAGATCAGGGCATACTCCCCCTTCAGTTCCTGCGGTCTCCTACGCTCGTTGAAGCAGTTTGAACGCTTTTCTACTGATCCGCCGTCCCGAGTGCATCGCCTGCAAGGGCAGAGAAACAGTGATTCAACTGTCAAACCAAGGGGCTTGGCTTCGAACAGTTCCCTGATCTTCCGCGCAGGTACATACAGCGAGACACTACCGGAAGGATAGCATTCCCTGATCGGCTGTACTGCATTTTGTTCTAAGTAGTCATGGGCAACCATGCATGGGGGATCCCCATCCATGATATCTGTCATTCTTCCGTTTCCCAGGTGCTGGTCGATGCTGATCGATTTTGGATGTCGGTTGTGCTTTCGCTCAACGAGGGCACAGCCGTGGAGAGTCCTGACGGGGAAAGAAGTTGCCGCACGCTGGTCACCGGTCAACAGCCGCACTTGTGGTGGCTGTCATCGACAACGTCCCAATCTTGGACAGTTCCTCCAATCACATAGGACCTGCATGCGCTGCAACGCTTGGCAACTGCGACACTCAGCAGCAAGCGCTTACACGTCTAGGCACCAGCGGCAGCAGATGGTTCAATCGTGTACGCCTGGACTCGGCTGAGTAGAATCCGCGCCCTTCCAGAACCCAAGCACTGTGTAGTCGGGAAAATATCCGCTGTAAAATTTACTGGAAGGGACCGATCCATGCGTACCTGGGTAGGCAGATGAGACTACTCGGCGTCCTCGTGTCCAGTCACTGTGTATCACGCTTGTGGTTGCGCCGCACGGGAGGCGGCGCAAATGCGTGGCATTCCAACTCTACCTAGGTATAGCAGCGCGCACGCCGTGAAACCTTGGAAGGGCAAGAACCGGGCGCAGATCAGGTGATTGTGCGGGCGGGCCTTCTGTGATACCCGAGAACCCCCTGTCAGCCTCGGGCGCATCACAGAAGGGGGTAACCAATCGCGTACGCCCTAGTGACGCGAGTGCGCATTTCTCAAGTTTCCCACGTTCACACCGCAAAATATGCCTGGCTTTGAGCCTTAACATGCTGAGCCGTATTTCAGGCAAATTTTGGTTCGGATAGCCACCTTCGAATCAATGCAGGCGCTCTACTCGCAGATTGTCTAGAGGGGACTCAAGCCCGCCAGAAGCGAGCACGTTTTGGGATTTCGTGGCGGCGAAGCACTTGATTCTCGGACATATGACACTCGATACCTACAGACAGTAACAAACGATCGCGTCAAGTCTCAGGCGTTCGTGAGCATGGCTCGGACATCACGCCCTCATGTGTGCAGACCTCGGGAGCATGCGCTAAAATGTTGCACGTCACCACTAATGCCGTAACGGCATTGTCTGCCGACGTGCACCGATGGAGCCAATGGTTCCCTTGTCTGCTGCCTGCCCCTACCTTTTTGAAAGATTTGTTCGACACACATCGACAACCATTTGCCACAAGCTAAGCCGTCAAGTTGCCACCGCAGTAGAGCCGCATCTTAATAGTGTAAATTGAGGTCACGGAGACAATCGTAGTCAGTTTTCTCATGTCACGGACGAGCTCAATATTGTAGGCACGCATCGATACGACGAATGTGCTTGTTATACATCAATGCGATTGCGACTGCGATTGCGACTCGGCTGTAACGCTGAATCTCGAGACTGTCGTTGTTGCTCTTTGCTCGGCACTCTGCCTTGCTCATCATCAAGAAAGTTAAGAAGCGAGCTACGCTGTAGCAAAGAATTGGATTGGAGCTCTATTAAGACAAAAAGCTGGCTTCTACCGCTTGTCTTTCGTAAGTCAGCAGTACACCAGCTGACTCAACAATTCCAGCGAGGCCACGTCCTTCCTCTTCAAGCTACGTCAAGTTGGTCCGATGTTTGCTCACGCAACTTGCGCCGTCTCCAGATAGACCAAACAAGCACTGCTGTCCCAGAAAACGCAGATGCGATGATGACGTACACCCAAAAGTTCGACGCCACAGTCAGAGCGTTGTCACGTTCAGAGTACGCGAAAAAATTGGACCCGAACAAGGTCTAGCACACCGTCAGCCGTCAAACACTAAGAGCAGATTTCTATGAGGCACTTACCGCTAGGAAGGTCGCGGGCAGAAATATCGCAGAGATCAATGCGATTGTCATCATAGACCGAGTGTCCTTTGTAGACTGTTCCGTGAGTCGTTTCATCAGCCCGTTTTCTTTGATGCTCTGTTCTGTTAATCTTTGCATCTCAAGGTTGATTCGCTTGCTTGCTTCGTTCGATCGGGAATCTTGAATACCTTGGACCTGCGCAAGCACAGATTTCAGCAATGTCGTAGTTAAGGTGTAGACGAATGCTCACAAGTTGGCCAATTCCAGCAGAACGTGCAATCAGTGTCTCAATCCTGGTCAAACTCGTCTCTTGTCCGTACGTGTATTGGTCTAACCTTGATTGCATGTCGTCGAAGCTGGTAGACAAAGCTGGTGAAGAACTAGTTCTAAGACCTGATATCCCATGCTTTAGCTGACAACCCAAACGAATGTTCAGTCTTAGTATGTGAGCCAGCCTCAGCAGCTTGTCTGTTAGAATGTGCAGCTTTCTGAGATCTGAAAAGTCGGCTTGCACATCTCCTTCAGTATGAAGCTCTTTGACATTCGTAAAGAAGCCCCGATCAACCTACACGACTAATTAACCCGGTTATTATCTTTAAGCTCCTATACTCACTATGCTAGAGAACTCTCCCTCAAGATAGATCAAATACTCACGCCAGCCTTCAGACACCTCGAGGAGTACCATAGCATGCTGTATCACCTGTTTTGTAGGCGAATCGTCGTCAGAGCATTGGAGATGACGTTTCAAACGATCTTTAAGCTGGTCTGGTGCTTGCAAGAACACCCAGCGACACTGTTGATGCGAAGATGCGAAGTGTTGATAAACGCCCACCTCTCTAATCGAAAAGGGGTCTGTCGGATAGCGCCGACCGTGTTTTGCAACATACTTGATGTTGTATCCGATGTCTTATAGAGGACTTAGCGGTGGAATCCAAGTTGGAATTGGGGAATAGTACAGTAGCCGCAGTCCCGGCCTGGCGTCAAAAGACCGCTGGAAGGATCATGTTTTGACAAATGCATGAATAGCGAGCTGAAACCCTCCTCAACAGGACCTGTTTTTTCGCAGAATAAGCGGACTACATCTAGGAAGTCAGGGTGGATGGCCATTCGCGTGAACAGTCGTCGTAAGTGTTCCTCGCTAATGCAAAGGCGGCTCCACGTATAACTTTGATCGATGAAACTGTGCATTCTTAGCTTTGAAAGACATCATAAAAGGAGCGTACTGACACCACTGAGGTAGTCGAAGCAATGCCGAGGATACTATACAGCCTTTCCGTCGTGCGGATCTGCTCCGTCAATACAACGTGCCCCCCATCTGTTGACACATTAATTGAGCACTGATAGACACGTAAAACTTAATGACTTGCTATTTCCTGGTACGCCGATGGCTACGTACTGAAATGTGGACTCTTGATTTGCGACGAACAGATCCTTGCTCAGCTTGCTTATTCTGGTATTGTTGCGAGACGCCTCCAAGTCTGGCGGAGAGCGAGAAAGATTTTCGGGATATCTCTCCCAACCGTCATTGTCATTGGATTGTAAGGTAGACATTCTTCAGTTCCGCTGTGTGATCAGTGCACCACTCCTTTATACCGGGCGAGGCTGCGTCTTTCACCGGTGGGCTGTAGCAGCGCGATCACACGTCAGGCTCAGCAAAAGCTTACGGCTATCAGGATCGCCCCGCGAAGAAGATTTTATACGGATGAACGCTTGCGAAACTAGGAAAGCCAGACTGCGATTGAAGTTATCTGACTGCTGAGGTGATTGAGAGCGCCTCGCTGCGGAGGTGGTGCTCGCATCCCCCGCCCTCCCAGCTGCCTCGCCTAGCTGCCCCGCCACTAGGCAAGCGCCTGCCTGAACTTCCTTTGTAAGTCCACAAGCTCATCCTATGCAGGTCAGTCGAACCGTCGCGAGAGTTCTATCGCTAGGGTGACGTACACGGGTGAGCTCTCGTGGAACATTGACTTTCCACTTTTCTCCTTCGTCAGGTATCTGTTGGTGATTGATCAGCAGCGCTCGTTGCAGGCTGTGTTCTGGAAGGCACATTCGTACAACAATGTCACATGAGGAGGTTCCAAATATGGAACTCAGGAAAGCGACCAGGACGTCATACTCCACTGTATAGCGACTTTCGATGACCTGTATGACCATGGTGCTGAGGGTTTTGTAATGTGAGAATGCAAATATGCACGGCTCATGAAGTTGCCCAGGTAGCGAGAAATTGAAATTCGCGATCTGAGCGCAAGGTTGACCGCTCCGCCTCGGCTGCGCACGAGGCTGAGCGCGGCGTTCTCAACTCTAGCACTGCCACAGCGACCAGGCACTAAGCGAAAGGTGCCTGCTGTGTTGTGCTTTCACCGAGCCTAGCTCGTGGCAGTACGGGGTCATACAAGCATTACGCAAGTAGGGCGCGTGCTACACAGGCATCCTAAAGTCATGGACGAATATCTCAACAACCACATGGCGTTGAAACGATCATATCCTTTCGAAATCGCCGATCCACATATACCACAACATGGGCAACAACTACATGCGCATGAGTCTACGCCGATCAATGAGCCCTTGTGTCTGTTAGGCTCGGTAAGACCAACCCAGTGAGTACCGTATATTCGTATTCACTGCACTACAGGTCATCGATGTGAGAGCGCAGGTGCAACCTGGGGTGCGCGATCTTTTCCATCGCGCATATGCTTTTGGGACAACACAAGATGACCTTACGTTTGAGGTCTGTCCGAAAGGCGATTACTTCGAGCTCTATAGCCAAGGAGGAGCGTTTGCGCGTCTCGACAAGGCCTTCTGCAACGAAGCCCGCGGACTGGTAGGGCTTGGTGTTGAATTTGAGGCATGTTTGGACCGAAAGCGTCGAGAGGAAACTACAAACGCTTGGACGCCATCCGCAGGTGAAACGGTGACATTTCTTGTCGACGTGAACGTAAAGAGCCTGATGCATCACGCTGGAACAGTTGGCAACATCCTCCTTCGCTCTGGAATCTTCTTGCAATTTCCTTTGCAGAGACCCGGTGGAGAAACGTACCTCAATCCCCAAATTCTCCAGATCGAAGGATTTTGTGAGAAAGCTGACGAGACAATGACCGAGGGAGAAGACGCGTTAACGCCTACTGTCGTCCTAGATGGGTCGGCTCAAGGCAATCTCAAACCGTCTAGGAAACCTCAAGACAATTTTGAACAGATCCTTGATTCACTCACTCATACAAATATACTTCAGGAGATACGTACGGACACTAGTCGTATCAAGACCAAACTCATGACGCAAGTTTATTCGAGCTCAATATGAGAGATCGCATACTAAACCAAACTGCAGGCACCAAATGATGGCACTAGACTTCATTGCACAGCGAGAAAGCGGTAGGCCTTCTACAGAGCTCACATTTTGGCAAGAAAGGCGTAGACGTAATGGAACCTGGTATGCTACATGAGTGCTTCTGTCTGAGCGAGTATATGTGGAGCTGATTACGAGACAGTTTTCGGCACGTACTGACGGGGTCCGAGACTTCCGAACACCGCGAGGCGAGAGGTGGCATTCTTGCCGACGATATGGGACTGGGAAAGTCGCTGACGATGTTATCGGCCATTGCCAGCTCACTTCCAGATGCGGAGAGCTTCGCTTCGACTCAGACAGCGGCTGAGAACGGATCATCAAATGCTTTGACACCTTCGCGAGCGACCTTGATTCTCCTTCCATCCACAAGCAAGTCGACACGGACCTAGGTTCTACTTTAGAGGTCGAATGCTAACTCTGATAGCTCTGATCGACAATTGGATCGACGAAATCCGCACGTAAGCTGTTCATCCCGCTGTTTTCGATCAACCTGGCTCACGCTCACAGACACACATGGCCGCACAAAGTGACGTTTCATACACATCTCAGTCGTGACCGGCATGCAGAGACACATCTTCTTCTTGAGAAAGACGTTGTTTTCACCACATATGCCACGGCCTTGCGGGACACCAAGCAAATTTCTTCGCCCTTGTCGAGGGTTCATTGGTTCCGCATTGTGTTGGATGAAGGTAGGCTTTGTGCTCTCTATACATATCTTCCCTCACTGAACATGTCTTTACAGCCCACAAAATACGAAATCGAAAGACCAAGCTGTTCAAGGCAATCCATGAGCTTTCTGCCTATCGCCGCTGGTGTCTCACTGGAACGCCTATACAGAACCGTCTCGAAGACTTAGGGAGCCTGGTCGCCTTCCTACGAATTACAGAGCTAGCGCATACACTGACCTTTCGCACTTTCATCATTGCACCAACGCTGGCTGAACGAGGAACTCGGTTTCGAAATCTACAGACATTATTGGGGATTATCTGTCTCCGGCGGACACGAGGACACCTTCATCTACCGGAGCCGATAGCTGAGGAGCGTTTGATCGCGTTTTTGCCCGGTGAGTATAGTCAGTATTTTGACCTCTTTGAGCAGTATAAGAGACAGTTGCAGATGACTGCTAGCGGAAAGGGCAGGTACGTGTCTACTGCTCTTCAGTTCATCCACGAGCTGCGTCTCTTTTGTAACAATGGCCCGAGGAGGACACAAGATACATCGCACGGGTCAGACGACGAGATACTCTCTCATCTGGTGCAGCTTGAAGAAAACGTATGCGCCAACTGTTCAATCAGTATTTTTTGCATCGACCGGGTAGAAGGCCGAGATGGTGGTCTGTTCATCCAGCCGTGCAAACATCTTGTCTGTCATAGCTGCTGGCCTGAATGTGTGGAGAAGAAGAAGAAGGGAAATCACTGTCGGCTTTGTGCAAAAGGCCACGCCCCGACAGATCTGACTACGCATTTTAGCACCGGCGAGCTCGCCTTCGCAGCAGAAGCAGCAACGGAAACTTATCCATCAAAACTGATGGCTCTAGTTAAAGACATCAAGCACGTATCTGGAGAGAAATGGTAAGTTCGCGCCGGCGCTTTCAAGTTTGGCAGACTAATGAAGGCATTAGTATCATCTTCTCTGCCTGGAAGAAGACCTTGAACATGGCGGGTGAACTCTTCAAGAGAGATGGAATGAGCTATGGGATGATTGAGGGAAGTCTGAGCTTAAACCAGCGGCTGAAAGTGTTGAAAGAGTTCAAATCTTCCATCGGGCCGAACATTCTTATGATGACACTGGGTACGGGTGCAGAAGGGTTTGTCCACACACAATGGAAAAGGCTTCCAGCGCTAACGCTGTCAGCCTTACTTTGACTATTGCCTCCCATATATACCTACTTGAGCCACAATGGAATCCCTTCGTCGAGCTACAGGCAATGGCGAGAGCGCAGCGCATCGGACAGGAAAGGCGAGTAGTCTGCGTACGATACGTCATGGAAGGAACTATTGAGCAGGTGAGAGCGACTTCAATACATGGGGTTTCAATGGAAAGCTTACGTGTCGATAGCACGACGTGATGAAACGTCAAAAGAACAAGACAGCCCTTGCAGGCGGCGGGTTCAAAAATCAGAAGATGCACGACTCATTAGTGAGACAACCGACCTGGCATGCGCGCGGAATGATGCTAACAGCCAATAGCAATACTTTGGTGTTGATCTGACACGGGTGCAAGGCAACGCGATGACTTTCTAAAGCGATGCATGATATGGCGTGGCATCGAAGTGCGCCACGTTCCTTGGTTGAAGAGAAGGGGGCGGAGGCGGAGTAGCACAGCGCGCCCTTGCTAATAACGCGAGTGCACATGAACAACGCCACTGCAGTAGGAGGTCATTTCGAGCCAGTTTGATTGCAACGACTGTATAGCTGTATCAGACATGTTATCCTTGTTTGCGCCGGACAGCTTAGCATCTTGGGATTGATGTGATTTTTGGAAACCTCAAGAGTGGTATGATATATAATCTTGGGACGCGTCTAACAATGCGCCTTCTCTTGCTACCTAGGTATGTGTTAGCCACTTCGAATGCTAGTGGTTGGCGAATCCGCACTCCTAAGCAACGCAAGATCTACCAGGTGACACATGTCAACAAGGCTGCCGTCGTAAAATCGAGTTCAGCAGAGGTACCTCTATTCTTGCCCACATGTTCAGTGGTTGAAGCTGCCTGCGCTTCACGACAACCTCTAGACGTATCGTTTTTCTAAAAAGAATTCATGCCGCCGATGATCAACGCTCTCCTCACGACACCCACTGTGTTCCCACGACCTTTGAGTCGCTCGATTAGATGTTCTAGCGGTCTTTCCCTGGGTGAGGGGCAAAAAGAAGATTCTGACTTTTTGGCAAAAAACATAAAACAGCGGGGATTAGCTAGCGGTCACCCACCTAACTACTAATCCGCCGGTATCATGCTTGTATATGGCTGAGCGGACGGGAAGCCTAATTTTCATGATCCTACGGTCGTATGTGAAGGTAACGTAAATACTAAGCGAGTGAGCCATCGAAGCGAGTGAGCCACCCCACCAAATTTCTATACCCTACAACTATAAATCAACTATAGCTCCACTAAACATAGCCCAACACGCTTCTTGTAAGACTAATATACACCTTGCAATCTCAGCTCTTAATGCAAATTAAATTTAGACTGAAAGGCGCGCTGCAGTAACGTTTAAAGTCTCTTGCGCTACCCTCTACCGCCAACGCGCTGGCAAACCTGCTAGACGCAATTGCCAGCCCAACTCAAAGAAGCTTACCAAGCAAGAGGAGGAGGTAATAGTAAAGCATATACTAGATCTAGATACACGTAGGTTTTCGCCTACGTACGCAGCTGTACGTGATACGGCTGATAAGCTACTCTTAGCGCGTGGTAGCTCTCCTGTAGGCAGAGACTGGCCAAGCAACTTTGTCAAGCGTACAGACAGTCTTAGGACGCGTTTCAATCGAGCATACGATAGGCAGAGAGCTCTATGCGAGGATCTAGCTCTAATCAGGAGCTGGTTTGAGCTTGTAGAGGAGACAAAGGCTAAGTACGGCATCTGCGATAATGACGTGTACAACTTTAACAAGGCTGGCTTTATAATAGGCAAAATTACAACTTAACTTGTTGTAACAGGGTTAGAAAGAAGAGGCAGGCCTAAGGCTATTCAGCCAGGTAATCGCGAGTGGGTGACGGCGATTGCTGCAATCAACGCTGCTGGCTGGCCAGTCCCGCCGTTCCTCATCTTTGCTGGCCAGTATCATCTATCTGCCTGGTACGAGGAAGCAGAGATCCCACGTGACTTGGTAATTGCAGTTAGCGACAATGGCTGGACAAACAACAAGCTAGGAGTAGAGTGGCTGAAGCACTTCAACGCTCACACAAAGACTCGCGTTGTTAGTGCGCGTCGCCTGCTCGTCCTTGACAGCCATGAGAGCCACCACTCTCTTGAGTTTCAAGAGCTCTGCAAGGAGAACAATATCTATACGCTCTGCATGCCGCCTCACTCATCCCATCTACTGCAGCCGCTTGACGTTGGCTGCTTCTCGCTGTTGAAGCGCGCGTATAGCCGTGAGGTTGAGAGCCTCATCCGCCACCACATTAACCATATCACCAAGCTTGAGTTCCTGCCAGCCTTTAAGGCAGCGTTCAGTCAATCGTTCACCTCAGCCAATATCTGCTCAGCCTTTCGAGGTACAGGCCTTGTGCCTCTCCAACCACACGCTGTGCTCTCAAAGCTTGACGTGCAGCTACGTACACCTACTCCAGATACTCTGCCAGAGGCTCTCTGGGAAGCTCGTACGCCAAGCAACGTACGTGAACTTGATGCTCAATCAACGTTAATACGCGATCGCGTGCGGCGGCACAAGAGCTCATCACCAGCTTCAATCATTGAGGCGATTAACCAGCTCAAGAAGGGTGCTGAGGTAGTGATGCTCTCAGCTGAGCTGATGCGCGATTGGATTGCCAGCCTTGAGAAGGCTAATAAGGCAGCGTTAGCGCGCAAACAGCGTAAAAAAAGGCGTATACAGCAGTGTGGGATCTTAACAAAGGGAGCTGGAGAGGATATACTCACTTAACGTGAGGCTGATCAGCAGATTGCTTGTGAAGAGCGTCAAGGAGGAGAGCAATTAGGCCACAGCCGCCAGGCACTCGCGCGCTGCAAGAGATGCAGAGAGACTAGACACAACTCGCGTACGTGCAAAAAAGATACTTTAGATACTGCTTAATTTACTCTATAAATATCTAAACATTACATTATCACGTTGTTGAGATATATGATTGTAAAGGTGCGCAAAGTTGGTTGGGTGGCTCACTCGCTTCGGCCACACCATCGATTCGGCCACCCTGCCAAGCACACCTCACATTCCACATCATAACTCAATGCCGCAACCACCTAATCCTAAGCTACTTTCTTGTGAGGATAGAATACTCTTTATACTTAAAGCTATTAAATGCAATGTGTTATTAAGTATAAGACATGCTGCTGCTATCTATAACGTTCCTTAAAGCACCCTTAGTGACTAACACGCCAGCATAACTGCACAACGCAATCTCTACCCTAGCTGCTTAAATCTTTTAAAGCATAAAGAGGAGGTGCTTATATAAATAATAAGGAAGCTTAATAAGCAAGGATTTGCTCCTACGCTTCTGTACGTTTAAGATATGGCTAACCAACTGCTTACCATACGCGATAGAGGGAGGGTTGGCACTAACTAGGTCTCCCAGCTTGTAAGCCAGCGCGCTGACGTCAAGTCGCAGGTTACCCGCCTGCGCGATCGCTAGAGGGTCCTCTGCAGCAATCCTAAGGTTATAAGCCCCTAGTTTAACCTTGTGCGCAATGTCAAAGCTAAGTATAGTATCCTAGACAAAGATACCTACAACTTTAACAAGACAGGCTTCTAAATAGGCGTTAGAGGGTCTATTAAAGTTGTTACTGTATTAGAGAGGCACATAAAGCTACTTAGAGTCTAACCTAGCAATTGCAAGTAGATAACCTTAATTGCTGGTATTAACGCTATAGGGTGGTGACCTAGGCTGGCGGATGGGTAGGGTATGCTTTTTTACGTTTTGGCTTATAGCTTCTTAAC